ACCACTCGTGTCTCTGCTGCGTTAGCCTTCCGAATTGTATGGGGTGTTTTGCCCCTAAGTTTACCGGGAGTTTTGAAAGCTTCTGTGATGTTGCTGGAAAAGGGTGTCAGCAGCCATCCATCATAGTTGGATGGTGAATGGTGAATGGTGAATGGCGAAGGGGGGTGGGAGAAACAAACACTTCGTTCTCGTTCAAGATTGCAGCCATGTGCTCGTTAAGCCATTCGACCTCATTGTGGGCAGAAAAAGAGAATTCCTCTACTTCTGACTGCACAATCTCCAGCGCAGATGCTCGCTCTTCCCCGACCCACGCCGCGGACCCGACCTGGAGACGCGGGCCTCGTACTGCAGTCATGATGTCGCGCGCGCAAAGTCACAGGAGCAAGGTCGTATCTGCAATGCCGGGCTGATAAGTATCGTGTCCGGAGCTTGTCACAACATCGGTGAGTGACGTTGGTGCTCGGCGTGGAATCTGTTGTCGAGGAAGTTGTAGGGCGATGATGATGGTGAAGGTACAAAGTAAATACGCTGTGTTTAGGTACCTGTATTCTCCATTCCAAGGTTGCAATGTTTTGATGCGCTCCCGATCGGGTTAGTGCATCTGCTAGCTCTGCGGTACCTTCGCGTCTTCACGATGGAGATGCGGCCGCACGTGATAACGTCATAAGTCACGTGTAGATACCGCTTATCAGAAACCAAACACGGAGGGGGGTTGTTTACTTGTACAAACTACTTGGGTCGCGTCCCTGGCTTGGTGGAGTTGCTCGTGCATTAGAGGCCCAAGTTTGTACAATCCAGCATTGCATCGCGACTTGCCACAATGAGGGTGATAGAAGTGATCATTGACGCAAGTGCTGCTCTCCGCGCCCGGAAATTCCATCTCGCTAACCGTTCCAATAGGGTTTCAAGTCCTACGCCGTGCGGACGGTGATATCAGGATGGTAAGCTTCAACCCCACGATGAAAGCTTTCGGCATTGCTGACCAGCCCAGGGACGAGAGCTTCAACTCCATCACCGGCCTGAATGGCAGCGGAAAGTCCAACATTCTCGATTCAATATGCTTTGTCCTCGGAATCACGAACATGTCCACTGTCCGAGCGCAGAACCTCCAGGTATATCGGTTCACGTTTACGTGCGGCGCACCCGATCGAGTAGTAACATGGAATACAGGATCTTATATATAAACGAGGCCAAGCGGGCGTCACCAAGGCCAGTGTCACGATCGTCTTTGACAACAGGGATAAGAAGAAGTCTCCCATTGGATTCGAGGAGTATGCCACTATCAGTGTGACTCGCCAGATCGTTCTGGGCGGCACGTCCAAGTATCTGATCAACGGCCATCGCGCACAGCAACAAACAGTTCAGAACCTATTCCAATCCGTTCAGCTGAACATCAACAACCCGAATTTCCTCATTATGCAGGGACGAATCACCAAAGTTCTCAACATGAAACCCGTGGAAATTCTGGCCATGATCGAAGAGGCTGCGGGAACGAGAATGTTTGAAGACAGGAGAGACAAAGCGCTGAAAACAATGGCAAAGAAGGAGATGAAACTTCAAGAGCTCAGTGAGATTCTCAGGGACGAAATCGAACCAAAGTTGGAAAAACTTCGAGGGGAGAAAAGAGCGTTTTTGGATTTCCAGCAAACGCAGAATGATCTGGAGCGACTCTCCCGCGTTGTAGTGGCATACGACTACACCAAATGTCAGGAGAAGTTGAAACAGTCAGCAGCTGATCTTGAGGCTAAGAAGCAGCGCCATAATGGCCTCGAAAGCTCAGCTGCTCGTCTTCGTAATGAGATCTCGCATCTAGAAGAAGACGTCAAAAAGATACGGTCACAACGAGATAAGGAGCTCAGGAAAGGTGGCAAGGCACAAGGTCTCGAAGATACGGTCAAGAAGCACGCCAATGAGTTGGTGAGACTGACAACAGTCATGGACCTGAAGCACTCGAGCTTAAACGAGGAGGAAGAGAAGAAAGCCGCCGTCGAGAAAACAGTGGCAGAATTGGAGACTACCCTCCAGGTAAAGACGGCAACATTCGATGACGTCAAAGCAAAGTACGAGAAAGCCAAGGACGATCTGGCAAAGCAGAGCAAAGAAGCCGAATCCAAAGAAGAGTTGCTGCAGACGTTGCAGACTGGAATTGCCTCGAGGGAGGGGCAGGAGAATGGATACCAAGGACAACTCCAAGAGGCAAAGAATCGCGCCACTGCTGCCGCAACCACGCAAGAGCAGGCCAAAATCAAGATTGCACATTTGCAGGGTCGAGTGAGGGAGGAAGAGCCCCGAGCTCGGAAAGCCAAGGACCAAAATGCCGATCTCTTGCGCGAGTTGGATGGTTTGAAGTTACAGGGACAGAAGCTGGAAAAGGAACTGAGCAAACTCGGTCTCGAGCCCGGCCAAGAGGAAGCAATGTATAAACAAGAGTCGAGCTTGCAGCAAACTGTCCGAAGTCTGCGGCAAGATTGCGATACCCTGAAACGACAAGTTGCCAATATCGAATTCAACTACTCCGATCCTGTTCCCAACTTTGATAGGTCAAAGGTCAAAGGTCTGGTCGCACAACTCTTCACCCTTGACGGAGAGCGAACCATGGCTGGAACCGCACTAGAAATCTGTGCCGGTGGACGACTGTACAATGTTGTGGTCGATTCAGAAGTCACGGGCACGCAGCTGCTTCAACGGGGTAGGCTAAGGAAGCGAGTGACAATTATTCCTCTCAACAAGATTTCGGCCTTCAAGGCGTCGGCACAAACCATCGCAACTGCACAGAGAATTGCGCCTGGCAAGGTCGATCTCGCACTATCCTTGGTAGGCTACGATGAAGAAGTGGCCTCTGCAATGGAATATGTCTTTGGCAATACGCTTATATGTGCAGACGCCGAGACGGCGAAAAGAGTCACGTTTGATCCCAATGTCAGAATGAGGAGCATAACATTAGAAGGAGATTCATATGATCCTTCCGGAACACTTTCCGGTGGCAGTTCTCCAAACTCCAGTGGTGTCTTGGTGACATTGCAAAAGCTAAATACTCTGGCTCGGCAACTCAATGAGACCGAAACGTCATTGAAAGACATTCAGATCAGGATTGCAAGAGAGAAATCTAAGCTAGATCAAGCCCGTCGTATTCAGCAAGACTTGGACTTGAAGAAACACGAGATCAAGTTGGCTGAAGACCAGATCAGCGGAAACTCATCTTCCTCGATCATCCAGGAAGTTGAAAACATGAAGGCGACCATTGCTGAGCTGCAAAAGAGCATATCCGACGCCAAATCACAACAGGTTGAGGCCAATGCGGACATCAAGCGCATTGAGAAGGATATGAAAGACTTTGATAACAACAAGGACGCCAAGCTAGTGGAACTTCAGAAGTCTCTAGACAAACTAAGGGTAAGCCTCGAAAAGAACGCAGCAGCTGTTAAAACTCTACAAAAGGAGCTGCAAGGGGCTCAACTTGATTTGGAGCAAGTTGGGGGCGATCTGTCAGCGGCTCGAGAGCAACTTCAAGAAGTAGAAGTTGGCATCAAGGCCCAGCAGAAAGATATCGAAGACCTGGTGAAGCAGCAGGCTAAGGTGACAGAGACGCACAACACCGCACAAGCCGAGCTTGAGGATGAGAGAGCAAAGCTGCACCAATTCGACGATGAACTCCGAGCCTTGGAAGACGCCACACGCTCAAAGAATGCTCAGATCACAGAAGAAGGCCTAGAGATGCAGAAACTCGGTCACCAAATCGAGAAATTCCATAAGGAACAGCAGTCCGCGGCGGAAAATGTTGCTCGGCTCGAGGCTGAGTACGAATGGATACACGATGAGCAAGACAAATTCGGCCGCAGTGGCACGGCCTACGATTTCCAGCGCCAGAACATAGGAGAGTGCAAGTCAACGCTACGGAACCTGACTGAGCGGTTCCAAGGCATGAAGAAAAAGATCAATCCCAAGGTGATGAACATGATTGACAGTGTGGAAAAGAAGGAAGTGTCACTCAAGCAGATGATCAAGACTGTCATCCGAGACAAACGCAAGATTGAGGAAACCATTGTCAGCTTAGATGAGTACAAGAAGAAGGCGCTGCAAGAGACTTGGGAGAAGGTAAATGGCGATTTCGGTCAAATCTTCTCTGAGCTTCTCCCGGGAGGCAGTTTCGCCAAGCTAGATCCTCCAGAGAACAAGACGATCAGCGACGGGCTTGAGGTCAAGGTCTGCCTGGGCAAGGTGTGGAAGCAAAGTCTGACGGAACTCAGCGGCGGCCAAAGGTAAAGCATCTACTACTCTTTTTTTTTTAAACAAACATTACTGGCTACAGCGTCTGTATATGACACACGAAATGCTAATATTTGAGGCCTAGGTCACTGGTCGCACTTTCACTCATCATGGCTCTGTTGCAGTTTAAGCCTGCGCCAATGTACATTCTCGACGAGGTCGATGCCGCTCTCGATCTCTCCCATACACAAAACATTGGACGACTCATCAAGACACGCTTCAAGGGCTCACAGTTTATTGTCGTGAGCTTGAAGGACGGCATGTTCCAGAACGCTAACCGTATCTTCCGGACACGCTTCAGTGAAGGAACGAGTATGGTTCAGGCGCTTACACCAGCGGACCTGAAATGATGGAAGGAAAAGAAATGACACCAAAAATAAGAGAGAACAAAGAACAAAACTTCCGTATATTCTAACTCTAGGACCATGCGATACGATGTGACGAGAAGTATGAACGGGACGGATAAGCAGGTGGGAATATGATCTAACACCAAAAATGGTAAAAAAAGAGAGAAATAATATGAGCATTTTTAGCTTTTTAGCTCTGTCATTATGTTATGACGAGAGAGATATAATTATTTGATATATGAAAGAAGAAGACTGGATGGACGCTATTTCCGAGCTCCATATACCTTAGCCGCGGTTCATTACTCGAGCTCCGTGATTTCCCCCCGTTTATGATCCATCTTCGCCACCACAACTCAGCCTATTTCTACCAACTTGTTGAGTCCAGGTCTACAAGGCCAAGTGATGGCCCCGTTGCAGAACCTTAATCTCCATACCCACTTCCAGTGACAATTCAAGGTCTTCTGGGTCGTCGGTCTTTGGAAATATGGGACAGAGTTGCATGCCCATGCAACCACTCTTAGGAGCCCCCTCATCAATGTTTCGATACTTCCTGAGCGAATTATCGGGCTCCATCTTGTGTCTAATCCCCGTAGCTGGATCGACATTTGGCAACTTGCATCTGTATGGGAGTCCGTTTAGCACGCGATTTTTTACGCAGTACGAGTATGCGTATGCAATTCTGTACGGGTAAAGAAAGAAAACTCTCTTTTTGTTTTTTGGACGGGCAAAGCCTCCACATGCTGTGGCTTGAGCATGGGAGAGAGGGGCGGAGGTGAGCATGAGTCAAGGGGAATGACAAAGTTTAAAGGGGAAAAAAAAACAAATCAGAGTAATGGGGGGAAGGGGTAAAAAAAAAGAGTTTGAATGATAGGTACTTACCGAACGGTGCGACAGGAGACGTCGAACTTGCTCCCTGACAACTTGGCTGTGGCGCTCTGGGGAGGCTGGGAGAATTCAATACTTCGCCAGTCGTCCTCGTCATACTCCTTGAGACCAGAAACTAGTCATATCAAGTTAGTTGAGTTGTGCCGCTCAAGCGTGGGGGGAAAAAGGTCTAAGTAAGTTCAATATGGGGGGGGTGAAGGGGGAGACTGGGAGAATATAGCCGGGAGGAGTCCATACCAATGATATTCGGGCGGAAGCGGCGCGCGTCCAGAAACTGAAGATTTTGGTCCTTTTGAACCTTGGACTCTAAAGCGCGGACGCTCGTCAGGTTGAGGAGATGTAGTGGATACTGCGAGAGGGTCATCAGATGCTAAAAGCCCGCGGAGAGGAGGAGGAGAAGAAGAAGAGTCGTAGTAGCAGTAGATCGGCCAAAACTTACTGCATCTTGAAAATCAATGACGGGCTGGTATCCAGCATCGGCTTTGCGCGGCGCATTCCTAAAGACTTCCCTCCTCTGGTCTGGATCTACCATGAAAATGGTTACCGGTACAGCGACCCCCAGATACAGGCCCAACTCTGGCGGGACCTCGTTGCTCATGTTGAGCGCATAAACGCTCTTTGTGAAAAACGACGTGTCCTCGTATTGGTAGCCCGCAGCTTTGATTTCACCAGGAGGGGGGAAGTCAATTGATAGCATGAACTCTTTTTCTGGAGTGCCGCTGAGGCCGCGGCTCAACTTGGCAGATATCCACTGAATCACGCCCTTCAGGCCAGAGTCTCTCCATGGGAACCTGATGACGATGAACCGGCCGCCCACTCTACCAAGCTGACGGCTTGTCTTGCTCACATCCGGAAGCCAGAGGTCGACCTTGATGTTTGCGAGCAACGGCACTTGCCTTAGAGTGATGACCTCCCATTGCGGATTCTTCTTCGGCTGGGCTTCATCTTCTCCAGACGGCATGAGAGCACTCGCCGCCTTGGGTTTCTGTCTCGCGAAAGCAAAGAGGCGATCAAACTCAAGCCCCTTGGGCAGCACTTTGCCGTGCCCAACCTCTATGCCCCGGCACGACTTGACGGGATATACGTATAAGCTTTGGATCTTTGCGGGCTTGCCTGGCTGGTGGTTGTGCTCCGGCGATGTCTGCGTTCGGAGGTTGCTCTGAGATGCAGGGATGCCGAGCTTGGTGTGAGTTTGCCGCAGGGCATCACTGCGCTCCACTGGAATGGGCGGGAACAAGATGAAGATGGGGATGACGAAGACGACGACGGTCGTCAGCAGGAGGATGATGGCGGTGAGGTCGAACAAGGCCACGACTTCCGAGACGGACGGCATCATTGTATCAAGCAAGAATCAAGGGCCAGCCTTGAGTATCAATCCGTGGCATGAGGCTCGCGATGGTGGAAGAAACGGCCTTCAGATATATTGCGTGCTGACGGCCAAATGCGCTCCTGCGATCGTCCCGGATGCTCCCAGCACATGGCAATTGAATCGAGAGGTCGGTGTCCCAGCTTTCAACCTCCAATGCAATGGGGTTGGCGATCCTGGTTGGCGGCTGGCTCAATCGTTGAATCGGTGATATGCTCAAGAGTGAGGTTTCCACAGGGTCGAGGTAGACAGAATATTACGTGAGCAATTCAGGTAGGCCAATTGATCTGATAAAACGCAGCCCCATCCCTAGCGCTCTTCAACCAAGACACATGAATTATTATTATCTTCTCTTTTTTGGAATCAGGCTGTGTCGCAAATCTTTGTTTCAAGGGAAATGCTAGCCAGCACTCCGAATTGGTTATCCAACATCCCGGCGACTGCGTGAGGTTCCAGTCGGATCGGGGTGCAAAGGGAATCCTCAAGTATCCAGCAGGTACTGTCACTGCATTCCATCTACTGATAATTTTCGCAACCATCGTTATACCCCTCTGGTGTCTGCTGCTATGGCGGTATCCCTCTCGTTTCTAAAAACATCACCTGCCATCTATGTAGTACTATGCAGCTTCGAAAATCCGAGACACAGGGCGCTGGCTAGGCTGGTATTCCCCTTGTTTTAGGATGCCCTGATACCGTCTGGGCCCAACACATCTACGTGTACGAGTATGTGTACGGTATCAAAAGCCTGCAGGACAAGGAATGAGTGTCCGTGTTTTGCAAAATGGCTGATATTGCACATTCTCCAGGGTCTCCAGGGTAAACCACCTCAGCCAGCATTTGCTGTTACGGGTTTAGCTGTCCCGGCTGCCTCTGTCTCGCCGGCGATTGAAAAGTCACGACGGCTTAAAGGGAGGTAAAGGCTGGAGACGCGCGACTGAAATCGCGCAGATTATCCAGCCCAGGTAACTGCAAGTGAGCTTGCTCTGCGATACGTAAAATTATTCGATTTGGTTGGCCGGCGCCTGAGCTGGAGTCTGAAGCGGCAGCCTTGCATGTGACGGGAAGAGAATCCCTGCCAGGAGAAATTCCCAACACCTGGTGCATTACTCGTACTCCGTAGACGCCAGTGAGATAGTCTATGATGAACAGCCAGCCAGTCGCGGGTGCATGGTTCCGTTGGCACCGGAAACTGAGGCACCAAGGTGGGGTGGAAAGGGGTTTGAGGGGCCAGCTTTTGGTTGGAAGACAGAAAATGAGCGTCCTCGTACGAGTAGGTGGACCAGACATTTCATGGGAATGAGCAAGCTCTGCTTTCTGTTGATGATACGTAGTAACCGCGCTCGTGGCCATCCCCCCAGCACAAAGGCAACGTGGTTCAGGGCAGTGGAACCTAGACAAGAGGCAGCTTTAAACGTTGAGCTTTGTCAACATGTTGCCAGATTGCCCGCCTTGAAGAGACACGAGTATGAAATGGCGGAAACATAGACGCAGCGTACTCCACCCGCGTGTATGTAGAAAGTACGGCACCATCCCGTGTCTGCTGCATATGCAGCCTTGTTGAGATGGGCCGCCGCCACCTCGGGCTTCGCGTCAACTTCAAGTAAGGAAGGGCCAATAAAACTGGACAAAAAAGAAAAGGGAAAAAAGGGAAAATAGAAGAAAGAGAAGAAAAAAGACTCTTTCCACGGAGCATACTCCGTGCTGTACCTGTATCATTGGCTCGGTGACAACGAGTACCAACACGTGCTTGAACAGAGGAAGAAACCATTCAGCCCTCCAGACGCCGGCAGCATGCTGCTAGCTCAGTACTTGGTGCTGATAGGGGAAACTAGTCCGTTGCTAGCAGGGCGCCGTTGAAGCTTTTCTATTCTTCGGAGAATAGCGCGAGTGTAGCGCCATATGGAGAACCTGGGAGGTGATTTTTGGAGCGGCCGGCACTGGTTTCTCACAAAACATGTTTCGATGAGCCAATCCAGAAGATTTATTGCTGGCTGCGCCGCCGACGCAACCAACGGATGACTCTTCGCCATTGCCAGTGACTGAGCACCAATCTGGACTGCCCAATGTTGTGGTGCGGGCTCCCCCCCGTCGCCCCCGGTGTATGTGACATATGACCCGGAGATCTTGTTGGCTCTTCACCCCCATATTGCTAGGATTTGTCCCTCTGTTTCTCAAATTCCGCACCGGCACCAGACGCTAACGGCCACTTGTCGCCCAGTGGCCGGCGGATAGTGTAGATTAAAAGTGGATGAGCCTTCGGTGACCACTTGTACAGTACGTGTACTCGTACATGTATGAGCCAGACCTGCCAGAGTCGTAATTTATACTCCGTCGTAGCGGGGGGAAATTGCGAGCAGTTGACAGCGTCTTCAACTCGAGGCACGGGCCAAGGCTAGGACGAGATATTGGACCTGAGGATGGCCGAGGTGAGCTTGCTGGCCTGCCACATGCATAAGGTTAATTTCTGCTGGTCGTTGCTGTAATGAGATGAGCAATATGAAGCCACGGAAATGGAGTTGGAGTCCCTCACCTACCCTTGCAGGGGGATTCCACGACACGCTTTCTTAGCCTTCCCGGGCCAAGCCGACCAAAAACACTCACGCAAGCCAGCTAAACCGACGTGTTTGTGGAAACTCTCTCTCATGCTGTTTCCCCGTGTGAACTAGAGAATCGGTCGTGGTTGTTCGTCTAGTCTGAATGACTTTCGATTTCCATAAGAGCTTTAAATCTGGGTGAACTTAGGTAGCTTGTGAGAGTAGCGCTGGTTAAGAGGGTTAAATACCAGACTCCTTCACTTCTTGTCCAAGTGGCACAGTAGGCACGGATTAGTACGCAAACATTGCGCCAAAACGTCACCAAGGTCCTCGTTCGCATTTTCCTGTAGCCGGACATTTTCCCGCTGTTTGCTTGAAGCATGATGTTGCTTATGCAGGACGGAAATTGCACGCTGGCAGCAAGGCCACTGGTTTTTTTTTCCTTTACAACTGAAGCGTACAAGCATGTACGGAGTACCGCACCAGTAGTTGCGAGCCATCACATTATTCAGGGCCATGTGCTCTGGGAAACCTTAAGTGCCGGCAGTTGGAATTAGATTTGCAATTGCCATGCGTATTTCAAATGGCAGGCTCGTGTCGCGCGCGCCGGATAAGTTTGACCTCGTGGCACAAAGTTTGGGAAAAGCTTCGTACCTACGTAGGTACGGACGGCGGATATGCAAATTGAAACCCGTACCTTGGTCCAGCCCCCCGACAAGGAGAATATACTGGTACCCCCATGTGCGCGCTTATCTGCCCGGTCGGAGTACGGAGCATGTGCAGCATGCTGGAAGTCCGTGCAGAGCAAACGTCGGGTTTCCCTCCTAGCTGCCGCGATGAACTTTGAATGGTACGAGCATTTAGAGTTATTATTCCACGACGAGTTGAACCGAGACGCCACCGTCAGCGCATGCGCCGGTATGCCCTCGAATTTGCTGCCTTGTCCCAGGCCATGGCAATGCTTGGCGGTCCTGGGCTGGTGTAACCTTGCGGGAGATTGGAGAGCTTTCAGATGGATGGTGAACCAGGGACAGCATTCGTGGTGTCTGTTTGACCGGATTCGAACAGCCAGCTGCAGCACCCCTGTCCCTGGTATTGCTGCAGGTTGATCCAAACTGCGTAAGTGGGTTTCCAGCTGCTCTCAAGAGGTGTTGGAGGATCCTCTCCCGGAAACCAAAGCCTGCAGCATTAGTGTCCATTGGACAGAGATGGCGCCGGGCTAGCACGGACTCGTCGAAGCACCTCGAGACCCGTCACAGTTCGTCGCCTTTGTCTTATGTGTCCCTTCTAGAACCCCGGCTCACCAGCCTCGAGGGTTCAAAGTCTAATACTAGCACGAGTCTGGACCCTCCACGCTAGGCAGTCTTCAACCTGATCTTCAGCCACACGAAACGCCAGGTTTGTTGAGCTCGCCGGCAGCTTTGTTCTGGGATTGACACTTTTGATAACAGACCTGTCGGCTCTGAATCATGTCTGCCCTGTTTGTTTGTATTTATTCCCTCAGCCAAGAGAGGACGGACCTTGCTTCGTTGTGGTGCGTCGTCTGACCATCAACCACAGGCCCAGCGAAGAATATGAGGTTGGCGCCATATGCTCGGTAACAGCGGAGTACTTTGAAATGAGGACTTTTGGTGTCCCTTTTTTGCAGGTGCAGGGCATGGGTTGTGGTCTTTTGGTTTGCCTGTGAGGCATTATTTAGCAACACATGCAAATTTCCAAGCACTGGCTGATATTCAAAGATTCGGACTGGTCCTCGAACGCGTTACTTCGTACGAGGTACATGCCAGTGCCGTATCCCTGGCCAAGTCCTGTGCGGAGGCATTCTCCAGATGGGAATACAGCGCGAACTGGTCAAAAGGAGATGCTTTGATTGGCTAGGACAGTGGTGGCCCTACATTGGCAGCCGATGCGCTTCGAAAAAGCTGTGCTTGGCGCTGGGCCTGTTGGACCGACAGCCGTCCCCTTGAACGTTGCAGGTGGTGCGAACAACTCCGGGTTCCGTACGAAATATGGATAGGATCCGAGCCTGAAGCGGCAGCGCTGGATTTGGGACTCGAATTGCACTCTCACGAGGTGACCAAGCGCGCTTGTGCTCGCAATGACTGGATGGACCCAGTTGCCTGTGTAGCTGTGCATTACGGAGCATTATTCAAATAAGAGTGAACGTGTATGCCAGATGGGGAATTATGCTAGGGCTTGAAGCTTGGCTCGCGCCAGTGTAGACGGCCATACCATACAGTACCCATGCCTCTGTCGTGCCGCTCCCGCGCTGCCGATACATACCTACTCGTATATCGTGGTTCAAGGGCAGAGGTACGAGTACTCGTACACGTACAAGCCATCGTGTCACACAAGTGCCAATGGTACAGTACGAGTAGGTACTAGATGGAGAGCGCGGCGGCCGTGTACGGTACAGGCAGTGCCCGATGGTCGCGGCGGCTGTGCAGTACGAGTGCAGCAAGTTGCAGCAGTCAATGGATGGCATCAAGCATCGGCGAAAAAGCGTTGGAGAATTGGGTCGTTGCGGATCAGGTTGACGCCGGCCCCCTGCAACAAGCCGGGGAAAAGCCCAACCAAGCGCGCAGCCTCCAGCCCACACGCACGCCTAGCTCGATATGTTGACAATGCACTTTTAGCTGCATCACGGGCCTGGCGATTCATGCCTCTCGCTGCAAGCCCATCTGTGCGAGGCTTCTTCTGGGATATTCGTGGTCTGTGCACCGTCTCTTGGTGGTGTGCTGCAAATTGGGTGGCGCCGGACCCTGTTGCCAGCAAGGGTCCACACGCTCTTCCCTTGCTCACCGTGCAAGGCAAATGTCAATCTGGGATGCTGGGCTTGGCTGGGCCGGGGCTGTGATTGAGGGATGAATGGCAAGGTGACGGCCGTAGTTCTGCGTTGAAGGCCAAAGATGGGTGGTGGTGATGGTGGAGGAAGAGGAACTGATTGATGCAGGAGGAATCGATTGCCTGCTCCCCGGCCGGCAAAATGCGACTGGCGCGTCAGCCCGTATTACATAAGCCCGAACAGCACATTGGCATTGGAATTCATAGGTACCCGTACACCAACCAGGTAAGGTAGAGGGCAGGCAATACAATACGCAGTGAGAAGGAAGGATGCAGGCAGCCCAATCAATGCAAATGGCGGCGTCTGGAGGGAAAAGAAGGAGCGCCTACCTTGGTACCTGGTAAGAAGAGGGCTGGTAAGGTACCTACCTGTACTACCTTGGGTGCTAACTCGTACTTGTACAGCGTACTCCGTACTCGTACAAGGTACCAACCATCCAGCAAGCAAGCACGCTGCTTGGAAGGTTGCTCTGTAGGGCAGGCAAAGGTGAAGTAGGGCCAGGTAGCTCCTGCTCGTGCAGAAGTTAGTGCCGAGCGCCCCATGCTCAGGCCGCGAAACGCGGAATCGTCAAGCTTCGTGCTAGCAGCTCCAACTCCGGGCTAGCACTCGCACAGGTAGGAGTGACTCCATCCCTGGTGGCTCGCGGCACTCCATCGTGCGTACCTGTACCTGTACCTGGCCTGTACCTGCGCCTGTAGCCGTGCTAACTTTTCACCTTGGTATCATCAGGTCGCCGTTTGAACGCCATCGTGGCATCAACCGCAGAATTGAAGCTCCTGAGCCGTCTCGCCCAGACGCAAAGAGACTTTCGCACCGTACGGAGCACCTGGTCGGGCCGGAGACTATATCATTAACCCCACGCTACGAGTCCGGTCCAAGCCCCGACAGCTACTGTGCTCCGAGGCTGGCTGCATGTTGTCGACACGGCTCGCCGTCCAGAGCTCTGCAGCTCCATGCATGGGCATGTATGTACCTGTCCAGATGGATCGCGATCGCCCAATGGCTTCTCCTATACAGCTGCTGCTGGGCCTGGGATTGGCATGTGCGGCACCAAGTGCTGGTACCGTTTGTTATCGCCGACTCATTTGCAAGGGGACGAGCAACGGAGAGTGTCCGGTCGGCCAGTCTCGCTTGGCCCAGCAATCTGCAGTGCAGCCCGGGGAGGCAAGAGGATAAGAAAAGATTCACAAAGGAAGAGAGACGAGAGAGAATCTCCTGCTCCGGCCATTGGCAGCACAGAGCTGTATGAATGGCTTGGGATTGTTGATCAAACCACCGTGCTGCAGTCTTGTCCTCCCAAGCCATGCCGTTCCTAGGCCCTAGGCCCATGAGCTCTCCACCACCCCAAATATGTGCGAGTATGTACAGGATGCGACGTACCGACCAGTACGAGTATATGGAGCGCTGCTTGTCCACCAAACTGGGCCAAGGCGGTGCTTAGGATTCCCAAAGCCACCATGGCATGGGTACGGTCTATGGGAGTAGTACCTACATGAATTGACTCCTGTGTCAGTTCTGCTGCGATTCAGCAATTCTTGCCCCCCTCCCTATGAAGGATGCCGCACACGCAACGGAGGCGCACAGTATAGGTACGCCGAGGAATATGCTAGCACGGGAGTACAGGTACAATTACTCTCGCCTGCTTTCCCTCTCCTCTCCTAGAGGATCAGAGGAGCCTCCATCTCCTGAAAGAGCTACTGCTAGTACGACTAGTAGTACATAGTAGGAAGAGGAGGCCGGAGGTTGGCGTGGGGTGCCCAAACCCGTTGCAGCAACCCTGGCCTCTGCTCCCCGTCATTTTGCTGGGCTGGTCGCCGCCACCCGGCTGCTCAGACCTTGTGGAGGCCCTTTTTAGAGGCTCGATTCTGATTCTGCGGTTTACGAGGGGGAGGGGGAGGGCAATGTGCAGCCTTGGCTCTGTTCGCTGGGTCCTCGGTGCCTGCTGCCACACACCCCCCGGAAGCGTTATTCGTCGTCCATAATGCCTCGACGAAGTGGCACCACTAGCATCATTTTGAATGCCTTCCCTTGCTCTGGTCACTTTACAGGCCTGACAAGTTGTACAGTATTCGTACCGGAGAATGGGAGTACGGACCACAATGCCTGTCTTGCCTATCAAGTACCGCCGTGGCACGCTTGTCACTAGCAAAGCAACGACCTTTTGCTACCTTGCCTTGTAAGAGGCTCCTAGATTGATCTGAGCCTGCCCGCAGTCTTGTACAGGCATATGCTTAAGTCGACGGCCGAGAAAAAAAAGATACACCAGGCCTGGATCTAGAATGCCGCGGCGGTGGCTGCTGCTTCAATGTCACCCCATAACTTATCACTTTCAGATCCAGCCCGCAGCCACTACCACTCCCACCACTACCACCACCACCACCACTACCCTCGATCATTACTGCGCTGAGCACCCGCCTGCCCCAGCTGCTGCGAACCTGGCAGGATTTCTCTTTTCCTAGGCTTGTTCGCTGTCGAATCACCTTGATGGAGGGTGCTCATCGATAGATTCGCGTCCCAGCTGGAGCCAAACGCCCGGCAGGACCCATGTGTATTGCCGCCCAGGGGGGCCCTCTAACCGTCTTCTTCTGCCCCGCGCCTTTCCTCCGTTACTAGAGCTTCATCTTCTCCTTGCTCAGTTCCCAATTTTCCCTCCCCTTGCGGGATTCTCCATCGACGACGGAGTGCCCTGTGGGAATGCGCTGGGCCAGTTCCCACCAGCCGTCTCCGCTGTGGACCAGGCATTGATTCCCTTTCGGAAGCCACACGCTCAAATACTAGTATCGACCGAGCATTGATGCAGGTGATTCGTCTGGTTGATCCTCTCTCAAAGATCTAATCTTGTTCAATCCAAATTCTCCGGCTTGACTGCCTTTTGCGTGTCTTGTCATTGTCGGATCGTCTTGCCTTGAGAGGGACACAGAAGAAGAAAAGGGGGTTAGCTTGCAAACCGCTGTCCTATTTACCACAAGATCCGCAAACCAGCATCTCCATAAGTCTGCCTCCATGGCCAAGGGAATATCATTACGGTAGCCTCTTCTGGAGTCTTCACGCCAAACGCGATTTCTCGTCCACAACGCCGGCTGCTTCCCCAAGGTCCTCTCCATTCTCACTACCTGCTCTGCCTGGGGGCTGTCCGAGCTGCAGCTACACTCGCAGCACTTTACCATCTACGTACTAAAGCATATGATACTCTTCACGCTGCTGCCACCCATCATCTATCCCCAAGCAGGACTTGCGCGTCTAGATTGGGGACAGGCAGCTCCCCGCAGCGTGGGCCGTTCACACTGTGCCGGCTCCTGCTCTTGCTGCCCTCCGGCCGTCACTGCATACTTGTACGTTGCCTAACCGCCGCGGCCAGAAACAGATCTGGCGAGACGCAGTGACAAGCAGCCATTTCGAGGCCGAGAAGCTTTGCATACCCCCATGGCCGCCATTACCCACAGACTCCTCATTACGACTATTACCGGTTCGGCGTTCGTCTCATCCCCTCCTGACCAACAAGCAAACAACTATCATCTACCAGCCTTGAGGGTTGGAATTACAAACTACTACCACCGCCGTCATATTCTGCTTGGCCTTTGCTTCCATTAGCAAGCGTCATCCAGACTCGTTCAAGTTATCAGTTATACAACGGTGTCGTCATTTCGTGTCTCGCCTTTGTTGATTCTTCACCTATTCTCTGCGCGGTTTCCCCCTCTCCTTGGGCCGACTCCATCGGGCTTCGCAATCTTCGATTTCAGACTTTCATTCAAGATCCATCAGCAAGACCTCCGGATGTGTTTAATCAGCTTGAAGTCGCTACCTCGAAAAAGATCGGTGAATCACGACAAGATCTAATTAGCGATACCTCTCTGCTATTTACCCAGCGACTTAACGGCCCCTTCTCTTTCTCCCTCCTCCATTTGCTCGATGATATTCCAAAGAGGAAATTAGGTCAACGGCAATCAATCCCATCATACCTTTAGCGCTGCTTGACTTTCGATGCGACGACCCCGACTGCTACATCCCTTAACTTCTTCGCTGAGCATGCGAAAAGCCAGAAAACTTTCAATCATCTTCAGCAAACTCTTATCGGAATACCATCTGGATACTCTTGGACACCTCGATTTCCCTACATAATTGCCAACATGGGTGATTACTACCGCCAATTTCTTTCTACAATGTCGGGGGCGGAAGGCTATCTGCCTACCAGCCCCGACGAGATAAACCAGGTCCTCGGACCCGGAGTTCCGCTGCCAATGTCAACCCCTCCAATGCACTCTCCATATCCCTCCAATATGGGAAACATGGGCTATTTCGCCGGGTATCCGGAGCCCACTATAATCAGCGCTCCGAAGGCCAGCAAGAGCCGGCGGCGTTCGGCTGCAAGCCAGGGCGGGAATATGGATCAAGTGAAGCATCGTAGGACGCGCTCTGGCTGTTATACATGCCGGAGCCGCCGAGTCAAGGTGCGCAAAGTGCAAGCTCTGCACAGTTAATTTCAATAATGTGACTGACACGATACAGTGTGACGAGACGCGGCCAATCTGTGACCGTAAGCCTTTAACCCGCAGCGCGGAAAACTTTGTCTACTTTCTTCAAGCTAATAGGTAGCAGGATGCAGGAAAGGCAGCCGAGACTGTATATATCCAGAACCACCAGGATCCAAAGGTAATTCGGGCCAGCCTACTGCCAAATCTAAAGACGGTTCATCCGCTCAGTACATAAGTCCCACATCTTCTAACGAGGGAGAAGAAGATGATACAGAGCAGGAAGCAAGACTCGGAACCATTCCCGATGATGACGAACCCGATGGAACCCCCCGGCGAGAATCGATGTCTGTCATCTCACAACCCCGGAGAGCAAGTGCGGCCTCGCCCAACATGGCCCTCATGAGCGCCCGCCAAACCTCCGAAACGCCATCGCAGGAAGGCAACAAGAGCGTTTCACCCTCGACTTCCAATGTAACGACGGGAAGCTGGACGCCGGCTGGTTACCAGGGGACGGAAACGACTTTGCCAGTGAGCGGAAGCCTGGACCGGATGCATCTACCCCAAGATTTTCGGAGTTATCTCCGGTACTACAGGGAGAATATGACAAATTACCACTATGGCCTGGCGGTCGACGAAGACGACTTTTTTAACTCCGAGCTACCGAGTGTTGCGATACAAAGTGAGCCGCTGCTCAATGCATTGGTTGGGTTTGCTGCGTATCATGTTACGTTACAAAATCCAAATGGACAACTGCAAGACTTCCTACAGTACTATAACAAGAGCGTGACTCAGTTGCTGAGTGTCCTGAAAAGAAAAGAGACGCACAGTGTCCATGTACTGCTGACAATTTTGCAGCTCGCTACAATTGAGGTAAGCCTTTTGGATTGTTCTGGGGGGGGGGAAACAGGTTTTGAACCAGGCAGTTAACTTTTGGTTCTTCATTATAGGAGTATCTAGGGGATTGGGTCAATCTCATGGGTCACCAGAAGGCTGCATTTGAAATTTTAACCCATATCTACACTCCGGAGACGGTGATGCAAACCTCGATAGGCCGAATGTGCCTTAGCTGGTATGCTCGATTTGATAATATTATTGCGCTGATGGGTAGATTTCCTACCGAGATACCCCGAGAGTGGTTCACGACCATGATCACGTATTATCAAGCTCAGATGGCGTCAAATCCTACGGAATTGCGGTGGAAGATTGAAGATCGATCCGCTCGCCTACGCCTCATCTCTTACGACATGTCGACCTTGTATGCGCGTGGAAGCCGAAAGCAAATCGCACCGACGGATTACGCCAATGAGCACAACTTTCTGACTGCACAGCTTGAAGAGTGGAAGGCAAGCTGGGACCCAATGTTATGCGATCAAAAATATCTCATTACCGATTTCCATTGGCAACGCCCCTTGAACCCCGACGATATTGTCAACCCATATCGCCCAGGCTTACTCTACGATCATCCCCTATTCAACAATACCCTTATCATGATGGAATGGCATAGCATTGTTATTATGCATAAAACTCAGTCACCCAACATCTCTCCAGAACAACTGTTCACTGAATTAGGAGGGCATGCGTTTACGGTTTGCGAACTCTTCGAGTGCTTGGAGTATTGGCCAGATTTACCATCGGGGACATTAATCGCGATGCAGCCGTGTCTTGCGATTGCGGGCCTCTTCTTGCCACACCAGCCGAGCAATAACATGTGGCTGCGACGGAAATTTGCACTTCTGGAAATTCAGGGGTAAGTAGATTTGATCCATCAGCCCTTCTTCTATCCATCTTTTGCCCTTGACCCCCTTCGCCTTTTTCTTCCATCCTTGTGGCCAGCCGGTGGCATGGATGTGTTCCCATCAATGCTTTATTCTAGAGAAGTAGAATTGTTTTTTCACCAACGTTGTTCTGACATCATGAATTACATAGGCATATTAACCCTGCGACTCGCCGTGAAAAGATGGCAGAGATCTTTGGAGACCCATCATGTGCCCAGTGGTGGCTGCCTGACGACGAAGGGTTTACGCCGATTCTCAAAAGCGTAAGAAGCTTTGCGGACGAGCGAAACGCCAGAGCGATGAATACACAACAAGTCAATCTCCGTGAGGTGAAGCACCTCTTTGATAAATTGATCCTTTAACGGCCGACAATGAATCAATACCAAAAAAGAATTAAGACTTTTTATAGACTTGGCAACATGACTTCAACCGTTTAGCTATTGGAATTTGTCGATAATTGTTCGATATGAAATATTAGGGCATGGGAAAAAATCAAGTGAACAAGGGCAGCGCTCATACCCCTGTTCTCTACATTGCCGATGCCGATCGACGGCACTTGCGGCCTGTTGATATTTGGAGGTGCTGTATCATTCAACTTTTTAAGGGTTAGCATGTGGACAATCATGCATGTATCACGACCGAGGATTTAGATGTTCGATTTCAAGTTTCCAGTTGTGGGAACCATACCGGGAGTCAAAGGTCCCCAAGGCACCAAGGACGGCGCGCGTTGGGATGAGGGCGGGATTTGAAATTTCTCAACTTGATATCAATTGGCCCGTCCGGGGATGGGAAAAAAGGACGGGAGTTGTTCTGGACAAACAGCACATGGCGAGAAATCTATTGCGGGCATTTGCTTTTGAGAAGAGTGTGTTAATAGTGCTATAGCGAAGAGCGGTTGGGAATATCTTTCACATGGACATATGTACGCCTAAACGCAATCTGGTGTCCTTTTCATATACGTATAATACATTTCTTTTTCTTTTTCTTTTTCTGTTATGGATGTATGTGCGTGTGTGTATGTATATGTATATATATGTATATTATTGCTGGTAAGGCGCATTCTTTTGTGCGCGCTGTCCCCGTAATCGTGTCATGTTCATGATTAGACGCTATACAAGTGCTCCCCCCCCCCCCATGACAACAGTTATTACAAACTTGACCGTCAAAATCAAGACGGCTAGCTATCCAGGCCCAAAAATTAAACCCCACCCTTGAGAGCTTGTGCTTTTCAACTCATCCAAAAGAAGAGAAATAGTGGAAGAGGTCTACTTTTCATCACCCTGGGCCCCTTCTTTTTCCACGTCCGCTGCCTCTGCTGCCTCTGCTGCTGTGGGCTGTTGATCTTGTGCTGCTGGTTCCTCCACTGAGGGTTCAGCGGCATGCTCAGCTGTGGATGGTTTCTCGGCTGCATCTGAGGTGTCCTTCGCATCGGGCGCGTCACCATCTGCTGTCGCGGCTGTCGTCTCTTCCTCCCGTTCAGCGGTATGTGCGTCAGAGACGTCAATAACGCTAGTAACGTCATCATCTGTAATCTCCACAATGCTTTCCGATACCCCTGTTTGTTGACCAACATCTGACAAGTCAGATACGGTGCCTGCTTCGTCCTGCCCGGGGTCAGAGACCGGTAGAAAGAGGGGAGGCGGTGGACCGGAGATTACTGATTGCTCGACGATGACGGGGACTTCGGCGACTTCAGGTTCCTCTTCCAAGACGTCGGGGCCTGCCAAGTGCATGTTTCTCAGTCTGCGAGAAACTCCATCGGCATCTTCTTCCTCCGCCTCCATGACGGTTGTTACAGAGCTTCCGGTGGATGGGCTGCTCCTGATGTGCCTGCGAGTGTTTGTGCGGTTGACCGACCCGTGCGAGCCGTCGTCCTCGAGCTCGCCTGCGCTGGGTTGAGAAGTCTGGGGCTTTAGGATCTGAGGCGGAGGAGCTCTGTTGGCCATGACATCGAACTCTGGTGGCGCCTCGAGGCCTTCTGCTTCGGGAGGCAGCTTGTAATTCTCAGCTGGTAGCAGGTCATACAGGTCGCACACGGTCTTGAAGAAGACATAGAGCCCGGTCTGCCCTTCGACGGCCCAGAAGACGCTGCGATGCTGGAACCAGGCGTGCGCAAAGATGCGGTGCAGCCGACGGAAGACGTTGACCAGGCTCTTGACGCCAACATTCTTGCTATGAATATCGTTGACCACGACGAAGCGGCTGGGGAAGATTTTTTGGTCCGAGACGACGTTGGCGGCCCAGTCGAGGGTATGGCAGCAGTAGTCAATGGCACAGCAGCTCTTAGGTTGCTCGTGCACGGCGCAGAGAAACTGCCATTCCGACGCGCGCATCTCGGGACATGTGCTGGCGCTGCATGGCGGCGTGTCGAAGAGGAAGCCAACGATGAGAGAGTTGCACTGCGAGATGAGGAAGCGGCAAAGCTCGTAGAGCCAGAGAGTGCGGTCGATGCCTGGGGGAGGTTGGGCGAGCTGAAGGGCCGAGGCGCGAGTCAGTGGCTGCGTGCCGGAGGCGGTGCTGTGATAGTGGAGAGCAGCGAGATGCTCTTGAAGTTGGAATGGTGAATCTAGCTGGTTGCATGTCAAGAGTTCGTCTTCATGTTAGCCCTTGGACCTCTCTTCCAAAGCTCCCATAAAGAGCGAGGGGGACGGTTCAACCATACCTCGCTCAGTGGCACCAATGGAGGACCAGCCGCCATGTCTGCAGCCTTTGTCCCGGGGTGTATCCGCCGAGAGGAACTGGCATCCAGATGCGACTGTTCCATCTCGGTGGTCGCCAGAGTCGCCGCAGGACCTCCCGAGGGGGAGTTTGGCCCTATCTGGATTTCTGCCGGCGGCGGGGGGCTGGGCAGACGAGGGGAGCTCGGCGCCAGAGACATGATTTGCAAGTGCAGCGCAGCTCTTTGATCTCGGGAAAAGGGCTGAAGGGGAGAGAAAAGAGAGAAGAGAGAAGAGAGGGAGGGACAGATCTGAGATCGTCCAGTCGCGATGCTGTTGACAGCCTGGCGAGCTATCCAGCCAATTGGGTGTGGCTCGAGCTGGATGCCATATGGCTTAGATGCATAAGCAGCCTCTTGAGCTTTGTAGACGCATATGGCTGCAGACTTGGCTCAATCAGGTATGGAGACGCCTAGCGGGGCGCGGCTTCTGCGGGCAATCAAGCATGAATCCAGAACTGGAGTGCATCATCGTGCATACCGGGTTCTAGTGCCTTATGTAACCGAGCTTGTTCTTGCCGCATCCATACAATCTTGACTTTGGCTATATCAGGCTCTCACTGTAGACATTCACACCATACCCTGTAGCTTAATTCTTTGATCCTGATTGGTTATAGCACGCATAGATCGTTGTTACCTTTGCTTTGGCTGTACAAGATGAATTTCGACGACGATGCCCCTCCAGATCTAATCGTGGTCGGTGGTGAGATCCAGGAGTCAGAAGAGGGGCTAAGTATAAAAGTGCCCATTACCATTGTTACAGGTGCGATCAAAGATGAAAACGAACACGTTGGGACACTTCTAACGGGATGAAACAGGATACCTCGGTGCCGGAAAGACGACATTATTGAACTACATACTTACGGCTCAGCATGGAAAAAAGATTGCCGTTATTATGAATGGTGAGTGATGTTGCTTGGTGTCGATCGACTCTGTATATATGTATCTGTGCTAATCTTGTCCAAACCCAAAAGAATTTGGCGATTGTATGAAACCACCTACTCAATATATATCCTAATGTTCTGGCGAGATTTCTAACAGTCAGCCGTTTAAACCAGCCGTGGACATTGAGAAATCTCTCACAGTCAGCCAAGGCGACAACAGGGTAGAGGAATGGCTTGAAGTTGGAAATGGCTGCCTATGCTGTTCTGTCAAGTAATGCAACTCCGTCATGAACCCCCCCCCCCCCTTGTCATATCTGAGATGCTAACGTCGACCAGAGATACCGGCGTTAATGCGATCGAGAGTTTGATGGAAAAGAAGGGGGCTTTTGACTACATTTTGCTTGAAACGACTGGGTTGGCAGACCCCGGCAACATTGCACCTCTCTTCTGGGTCGACGATGGCCTAGGCAGCACAATCTATCTCGACGGAGTGGTGACTCTAGTGGACGCAAAGAATATTCTATACAGCCTTGACGACCCCAAGGGCAAGATCGAGGACCATAACGAGCATGACCACCATGGCCCTTTGATGACGACCGCCCACGTGCAAATCTCACACGCCGATGTGGTTGTCCTGAACAAAGCCGACTTGGTAAGCGAGGATGATCTGAAGAGAGTCAGGGAACGCATTGAGTCTATCAACGGGGCCGCGAGGATACACGTGACGGAAAAGAGCGTCGTTCCTCAGCTTGAGGGATTCCTTCTGGACCTTCATGCATACGATCAGTTCAACGTGGCCGAGGCCAAGAGCAAAGGCCATAGCCATCTGGATCCTGTGAGTACCGACACCGAAAAAAAAGACAGGACGGAGCGCTCGGCGTAAAGTAAGCATAGATGTGCAGCTGACCAATTCTACAGACGATATCAACAGTTTCCATTCCCGTCCCACGCCTTCGCCCTGAGCAGCTAGAGGATGTCGACCGATGGCTACGAGCGGTTCTCTGGGATCACAAGTTGCTGGGTGCGGAAAGTGCCGTGGAATTTGAAATTCACCGATCAAAAGGCCGCCTCGCTTTTATCAACGGTGATGTGAAGCTATTGCAGGGGGTAAGGGAGATATTCGAGCTCATTGATGCCCCCGACGGCGCGGATATTTCTTCGACTGAGGGAAAAATCATCCTGATTGGTAGAGGGGTGAAAGACATAGACTTTGAGTCGGATTTTAGAAAAGTGTTGAATTAATCGAAGGGGGTGACTCAGTATGATGATAGAACTCGGCTTCTGGTTGAGCACAAAGAAAGCCCACAGACCCAGACTTGCCGCCTTGACGTGCTCAATTCTCCATGTACTTGTCCGTAATCTGCCTACCTTCGACTCTTTACGCCAGGTCCGTTGTTCTTGATTCTTGTAGATTCTCATAACTGTGCTATATTCTTTATCGAATTCCATCACTCGCATCAAGGGAAGGGAAATTGTCATCGGCCAGCCTCGCACTCGCTTTGGCCAAGTCTGATTGGCTGTCAAGGCAGATCTCGGCGCGGACCCACTTGAATCCGGCCAGCATGCTCCGCGCCAGATCCCAGCCTTCTTGGACGACGCCAGATAAAAAAAGAGTCAGGGCGACGATAAACAGTCGGGACGACCAGCAACGAGTGAATTGAGCCTTGGTACGCAATACGGATATATTCGCGACACCATATCCGCAGCCTTGAGCCAGTGCCTTTGCGCGGCCCCGTCCAATCATGAACCGACCAGGTAGGATGAAGTTCCGGATGGCCCCTTCGACACCTTCAGCCACTTCTCCAGAGCTCGTGCCGACATTCGCTGCGACATCCGATCGAGTTGGGATTGGCGGGCATTGAAAAAGCATGGCTCTGATGCTCCAGAGGACGGGAAACGATGCTTCGTACAGCTCTTCCCGTCCGCCTGTGGGAGAAACGGATATAGGCTCAGTGCTCATTGTCAATGCCCCACCTACAAACGGCCAGGTTGGATGCGACGGCTGGCTCTGATCTGAACATTACCTCTGATTAGGGAGGTCATGTTCAGATGGGAGTCTCGAGGGGCGAGCTCGAATCCTTTATACATCACCACCACGGACGGGTCTTTTGGAACTGGAAGCTAATGACTTCCTGTTCTCGATAGGAGCGGTGCCGCAGTCCTTACGGGGGATGCCAGGCGCCTTTGGAAACCAGCAGCAACCACAGCAAGGCCGATCGGTGTCAACTCGGTTACCAAATGGTAAATTAGGTACTTTTACTTGTGTAATATGCCGTACTTGGTTTTGGTTTTGGAGATGGCGGGTGTTTTGCTCTGAAAATTCTCGTTTCTCGTTTCTGTCGGCGATCAGGTGGCCAAGTGCTGACAGCTGGCTCGATGCCGTTGATATAGCAAACAATGCTTCAGGCTGGGCATTCAACGCAGCTGTGCCCATGGGAGGCGCTGCATTTCAAAACCAAGCTCGCCAGCTGGGCGGCAACGTCAGCTTTGCGCAGAGCTTGAGCGGGTCACAACCTGCAACGCCGCTCGACCTGTCGTACGTTCTTTCCATTCACTTCACTTGTGTTGACTCTTTGTCCATTCTTTTCTCCCTCTCTCCCTCTCTCCTTCTTTCCTCACCACACACCCTCACCAAGGCCTACCCATCTCTCTTGGGCCATCATGATCCGCTACACGCACAAGAAACACAAGCTGGTCAACAAGTCTGGGGAATCGCCAACCATGGGGCCTGGCTCGCACTCCATGCCTGGTCTGGCATACTCCGACGTCCTCAAGGGCTCCTCAAGCTCAAGCTTGCCTCCAGCACATCCGTCGTCGCAACATCCCGCACCCCTCAGGCACAATGAACAGGATGTTCGAAACCGTTCTACCTTGTCGCAGGCGCTGACCATTGTTGACAGGGAATTCCCGTCTCTATCGAACAACTCTCAGCTTCCCAGCACGACCCAAGGATCGATGTGGTCTACGGCGGGTTCCAGAACCATCAGCGGGCCAATCCAGCGGAATCAGCCTGCCCCTGGGCCTTCCCAACAGGGTGGACAGGATGATCTCTTTGGACCTCCGTCCTCGCGGATGCAGTCAAATCAGGGTCCTTTTCGATTTGGAGCCCAGCCAACGCAAGTCCAGCCGAACAGCGTCGACGACTTCCCTCCGTTAAATCGGTCATCCAACGGCGAGATAGGGTCAGAGCGTGGTGCCAACTTGATGTCCGCTCTGGGCTTCAATCCGCAGAACCCTGGTCCTTCAGGGCCGATGCCAAACAACGGGGGGAACGGCTTGCTGAACGCGCTCACAGCGACAAACCGAGCAAACGAAGTGCGATCACCGCCTGCCATCGGCACACCAAACGGTAATATCATCTCTTCTCCCCTTATCATACAGTTTAGAACCGATTTTAACACATAACAGGCCCCGGCAGACAGCAGCAACAACAATCGCAACAGCAACAGCATGACGGCAAGCAGAAAGCGTCCGGTTTTCGAGAAGACGATTCGGGCAAGGCATCAGAAGTAGCCTCTCCAGCCGCTGAAGGACGAGGATCTCTTGGTGTGATTGGAAGCGAAGGTCCGAATGGAAGACCGATCGAGCCCAAAGATAGCCAAGTTGCAGAAGTTGTGGACCCTTTGGCAGGCATGTCTGCGGTTGACAAATGGGGCATCAAAGGGCTTAGGACGCTCATGAACAACTATCCCGACTACCATGCTATGATCATAGGAATGGATCCCAACACCATCGGTCTCGATTTAAGTTCCCCAGAGTAAGTTATAAGCAGGGACGACTTTTCTTTTTTTTTCCATCTTGCGATCAGCCATGCGCAAGAGAGGCGTTTGCTAATCATACTGACCCTAGGCTGATTTCAACCCAAATGTACTCATTACTGGACGATACTCCCCCGAAGCCTACAGTCAACCTGAGCAAATTTCGATTGCCTGAGTGCTACAGCGTGACGAATGTGCAGCCGATAGACACCAAGATACAAAGTTTCAACGAAGAAACTTTGTTTTGGATCTTTTACAGCTGTCCATTGGATGCCAAGCAGCAGATGGCCGCAGTGGAACTGTGAGTTGAATGGCAGACTTGTAATTACTCTTTTTACCTTGGACATGCAACTGACGTGCTGCAAGCCACTCTCGTAACTGGCGATGGCATAAAAAACTGCAGGTCTGGCTGACAAAGGACGAGCACATGACTCCTCAGATCTTGAGTCCGAATCACGAGCGAGGATACTACATCGTCTGGGATACAGTCACATGGCGAAAGGATCGCGTAAGTGGACACACCGTGTCCCATATTCTCCATCATCTTCGCCCTTTGAGAAACTGACCCTCTACATAGCGAGAGTTTACTTTGCATTACGGAGATTTGGACACGTCTCTAGGACAGCCACCGCCGGTTCTGTCATAAGAACCTGATAGGAGTGAATAGGGATGCTCCCCTTAGCCCGGGGAAGGATTGCTTGCTGATTAGGGACATGGAGGCTTGGTCGAGCTGCTTCATCGTTTTGGCGTTTCAGCCACAAGGACGAGGATCTAGGAATTATTATTGCTTTTTAAGGAATGGGTTCGGTATCATGAAGGTCCTGGAATGCAGAGTCGGTTTTCAACGGCACGCCGATACTCTTAGCTTGCGATGGTTAACATGGGTTGCATTTATGAATCAAACGCGAGATGGCTGGCCAGAACGAGAATGCTGCCAGTCAATCTTTAACCTGGTATATATACTGTATGAGCTTCCGCATCTTTTGTGAAGGTTTCATATGCCGCATTTTGACGCAGTTGGGTTGAGGCTCGTACGCCTCAAGTTTCTTTTATATTTTCATTTCCCCTTTCCTTTCCCCTTTTCTCTTTTTCTTTTTCCATTTCTTTTTCCGTTGTTCTTTTACTGTATTCGCGTGAGGTGGTTCCCGTTTGCATCTCGAACATCCTGCTTACTCATCGTTTCGAGACAATTAAGCTCCGGGAAAATTAGCCGAGGTTCCACCATGACCTCTCCGGCGTATTACCTCATTCGAGTCCAGAGTACAGGTAACCTGCTATGCGTGTCTACTACCTTAGTACCTTAAACTCCGACACATGAAGACCTCTAGTACCTACCCGAACATGGGCTAAGGATTGGCTGGCCCAGGATCAGAGGCTACAGTTCATCTGGCGACGACCTCATTGCTGGTTCTTGTCCTCTTTCAGCTTTCGTTCTGCGGCATTCTTGAAGCTTCTTCGACATTGCTGGCTCTGGCCCCAGCTTCACGCCTCACCGACGGCTCCTCGTTCCGCCCAACTAAATCCCACCGTCTCCCATTCTCTTGATATTTCCCAGTTGAGTGGCACCGCCGTCGCGGCCCCAAACGGACATCATGTCGGACGAACAAATCTCGCTGCCCTTCTTTGCCATTGTCTTGCTTGTCTCGGGCCTGATTGTACGGTACCTTTTCTTCTCGGGGCCGCGCCCCGAACGGCCGCCGGCGAGGACAGCAGAGCAGATATTCAGATCTAGAGAGGTGGCAGTACAGAGGATACAGCAGATGTTTCCGCAGGTCGAGCGACGGAGCATTCTGTGGGACCTCCAACGAAACGGTGGCAACATCCAGAGCACCACAGAGCGGATTTTGTCAGGCCGATTGGAAACGGTATGACTTGTGCCCCCTCTGTTTCACAGATGCATGCGTTTCTTTGACTTTGAAATTGGCGACAAAAGCTAACGCGAGTATCATTGACGATAGCCTCCTGTTACGTTTCAACCACCTCCACCCCGAAACCAGTCTCCCCCGAGTGGAAGTTCGGGTCCTGCGGCGAAGCAGCCCGAGAAGCCATCTCAGCCCGACCTGATTACACGCTACAACCTCAAGGGTAAGGTTAGCGACGATGCCGCCACGGAAGAGAAGAAGGAGGTCGAGGAGGATAAGAAGGGCAAAGGCTGGAGCTCCAACCGTGACGAACGACAGAGTGCTTTGCAACGGCGGAGGGATGAGATGATTCTGGCGGCGAGACGGAAAATGGAAGCCAAGATTGCGGCGGAGAAGGCTGCTCAGGGATCTTCTTGAAGGAGCTGTGACGGAGAATGGCGCGCGCCCAAACGGCATGGTGATCTCCGGGGGGGTAATATTTTTTATTTTTATACGGATGCATGGTTATGGTGAGGCTTTGCGAGCACTGGCGTTTTTCGACTCTGTAGATGAGGTAGTGTAGGATATATTGATTACTTTAGGACGCTTGATGGAAGCCGGTGTGAGAATGGTTACAATGTGCGTAGCTGCGCGATACCAGGTAGGTAGGTATATAACTTGTGTGTTTAACACGCTAGGTGGGATGTTACCAAATAGGTACCTAGGTAAGTAAATCTCTCGAAAGTCTATCCATTAATTATTGGTCGTGTTTGCACCGGCTTTGTGGTGCGAGACACTTCTAGAAGATGAAGACAAGACACCGACAGTCCGATGGAGCAAACCAACTAGATAGGTACACCCATAAACAATAAAAGACTGTTATGTGGTACGGAGCCTACATAAGGTAGGTATGGTGTGATATCAAGAACAGATGAGGGTTTTTCTTAGCGGAAGCCAAAGCCAGTCGGGATATAGGCCTAGGTACCTAATGGCTAATGGAAGGTAAAGCCACGGTCTGGAAATAATCGCCGGGAGGCCTCGACAATCGACTGATGATGAATCTGGCACATGTGAATGAGCCCCGCGTTTGGCTTCACGTGGGTACAAGGGTCAGCGGTTTGACGTCAAACGGCCAGTTACTAGGTAGTAAGTTGGCATTTCCTTTCCAGTACTATTTTATTAGGACGTTTGTATACAGGGTGAAAGCATGTGTAAGTCGCAGTATCTATTCAGTAAAGGTAAATCTTGGATAGATAAGACACTGGTGCTTGCTCGTGACAATCGGCGGCAACACATGTTCGAGCTTTGGCGGGGCATGAGATCAATCAGACCAGACCCTGGACGAGGCTCGGGGCGCCGCTCAGCCACAGCGCTCTGTCCAACGCTAGAATCCAACAGCTGCTGCGTCACCGCGGGGACCAGGCCAGGCACATGGATGTCCATATTAAACACAAAGCCGAAAAAACCACAGCTTGCGTCAGAGCTCGTCGCTTCAGCTTCAGCCTCTCGTTCTCTGCCTTGTTTACGGCGGTTTGTTTTACTTTTGCCTCTTGACTAGCATTTTATCCTCGTCTCTCCCCAAATCCAAATCCACGCGCATCGCGACCTGAACCTCCAAAAGCTGCGGCCAAGCGCGTGTTCGTTGCTGGCTTAGTGCCCAAGATATCGCATTGATCCATCGCACGTTTGGAGCACTTTCTTTTCGTCCTGTCCTTTATCTGTTTGTTTTAAAAGCGCCCTTTGGCCCTAGGATCGCGAATTCCTCCCTCTTTCGCGCAGCAAGTCCTTCGCTGAGGGAATCGCAAGCACTGGCGTCATTTCAGGTGGGTAGGCCACACTCTCCCTTGATCTACATCTACACCAGTTCTTCATCGTCTTGTCTCGAGGCAAGATTTTGGCGATCAAGGACGGGGCAAGACTGCACTCTCGTTCTATTGCTTCTCCATCTCCAGCGACATGTTGTTTTTCTTTCTTTTTCTCTTGTGACGAGCTTGCAATTATTTCTCGCTGTTGACAGGCGCATCAGCGTCGGCATCAGGCTGACAGCTGGCACTGGCTGGCAGCCCTACAGCCCTTGTCGAGATACATAGGTAGTCGGGCACACACTCTCCCTCTCTTCTTTCGTTCTCTCTTACTCTCTATTCCATCTTGCACCATAGAATTGCAGCAGTCTCGTTTATTCACTTAATTGCGCCTTCATGCACTTTGTTTCCTCTCGCTGACAGCTGGGCGCCTAGTATCGACTTCAAGGGAAATTTCCACTCGCAGCGTCCAACGAATCTTCAAGCGACTACTCCATACATATCCGCAAAACTGCACACCCTTCGCCACCGACCTCACACCTCTATCAGATTTAAAATTATACCTGCTGCCGTCCTCGTCACACCGCACCTTGGGTTCGATTTAGCTTCTACCCAAGGCATCATTGGCGAACCCCCGCGAGAGAGCAGCTTTGTTTGGCGAGTTTCGAGAGCACTTTGATATGGTGATTGTAGTACCGGGCCTCAACATAGAAGTACACCCCGCTTGAGAGCTGGGAGCCAGAAAGACGCTGCAACTACAGTGTTGCGATGGCACCCCAGCGGGACTATTATGCCGACTTGGGACTGACCCCAACGGCAGATGTCGCGGAAATCAAGAAGCAGTTCCGGAAGCTAGGTGCGTAACGAAACCACTCGACTTCACACAACTTCTTCATTGGCAAGGTTCTAATTACTACAACCAGCTTTGAAATACCATCCTGATCGCAATCCGGGTCGAGAACAAGAAGTAAACTCACAGTTTCAGATCATCCAAGCTGCCCACGAAGTCCTCAGCGATGCCGACGCCAAAGCCAAGTACGATGCTGCCTTTATGCGGTCTGCCAGTCGATATCCTGCGGCCTCGGGAGTGAGAGGAAATCCATGGCAGAATGTTAGCCAGCAGTTTCCTGTGCCACCGCGGCGAAACCCACCACGAACAACTCCGTCGGGGGCACAGAGATGGAACGAGAGGTTCTCTGCCGGTGTGCCACCAACCGCTAAGCAGCATGCATCGGCGGCAACGGCTGCTCGGGCTTTCGAAAGCATGCGGAAGGGCGGCGCCAAGGGCGGGCAGCAGGATCGCCGTGCTCCTCCTCCTCCGCCCCCTCCCCGAACCGAGTCTGCAAAAAAGAGAGCAGAAGCGGCTTTCGGGGCCAAGAGAACCGGCTACCATCCTCGGTCAAACACTCCCGGCGATGAGCCCCCAGTCACCAACAACAACTACTCCTCTCGCGTCAACACTGAGCGGTCAGAGCCTGCACCAGAGCCTACGCCAAAGCCTGCGCCAGAGCCTGCGCCGGAGCCCGTACCAGAGCCCGTACCAGATATTTTCGCTCAGTTCAGAGACAAGAACCCTAGTGAAGAGAGCTTCCATGACCCTCGACAGAGCTCTCCATACACCAAGAGTGGGGGCGAGAAGACTGATCCTTTTGACAGCGTTCCATTGAACCGGGCAAAAAGCACCAAGGAGCCCCCTGAGCCATCAGGTTCAACGCCCAAGCGTCGCAGCTCTAGTATGCCCTGGAAAGAAACCAGAGATGAAGCCCAGAGAAGGCGAGATGAGACAGGGGTGGACGGAAGACCTCGGGTCGTACCTGTTGCACCAAGCTCCCGGCCTGCTGCGTCATTCAAAGCTCGAGCAGAGGCCGCTACGGCAGCGGCTGCTACCGCACCAAGTGACAACGTATACACGACAAATCAGACAGGTGAATCTTCTACAACTGGCGATGCAACCCAGCCACCTTTCCATCACACGCGTGAGTGATCCGTTTGACCGCCATCAGGTCTAAAACCATGGCTGACATTACCGCCCCAGCTTTCAACAAACCTCGGACTCCGGTTAACGACCCTTCAATGTATGCAACGCCCCGAAAAGACAAGCCATCCCGCCGCGAGAAGAATTTTGCCACTATCCCCAGATTGACTACATCACCAAAAGATAAGAACGTTGCCGAAGTTGGCACAGAGAATGCACCAAGTGTCCCGAGTGGAGCACATGGTACACTTCACAGCCTCTCTCCTTTCGAACAGAAACAGTTGCGCATCTTGAAAGATCTGATTACGAATCGGGATGCTCCTGCTTCGGCGTCGAAAACTAAACCACAGCACAGCACCCCTTGCCACCATAAGTCCCTTGATGAAGAGAAATTGAGTGCTAACGAGGTATCACCAACTAGCTTCAGCTTCAACATAGACGACGATGCATTTGCCCCTGACACTCCGGGAACATCTCGATTTAGAAAGAGCAATAGCACTGATGGAATCAATACGACTTTCGTCAAAGATCAGTCTTCTGCTACTTGGCAATTTAGTGCTGGGAATGGAAATTACGGCCCTATCCCTCAGAGTCGGTCCCAATCAACAAGCAAGTCTGGTCGTCGCTCGCCTATTAAACGTCGGCCGGTTCCCAACGCAAACGTGCCCGATATTGGAGCCCAAGACCCCCCAAATGCAACAGGTTTTGACGCAGAAAGTTGGAGTACCAAGTTTGGGCCTCAGACTTTTGTTCCTCGGCCTTCCACTCCCAACTCATCGGGTTCACCCACGCGGCTGGGTCGAGCAAACACGAGGAAAACAAGAACTACAAAGCCCTTGGCCGGCAATGCCGCCATTGTGGATGATAGCAGCGAAGAGGACCTATATAACTGGCCCGGTCGTAAGACTGACCCAAAGGCCGCAACGGTTGACAGCCCCCAGGCGATGGATATTGACCCGCCGTCCAATGCCTCCCCTTCGCGCTCTCGTATTCCTACTCCGCCCCCTCTTATCCCGACTGTTCCTGCGGTGGCATCAACTGCCGCCTCGGCTACGGCTCCCTCTGTGATTCCTCCTGCACCTCAGTCACGGTCCCAGTCTCAACCTCCATCTCAGCCGCATCCCGTGGTTGCCAGGAACATTTCTGTTGAACCATCGCGATCGGAATGGCGATCTGGAAATGTCACGGGCCTCGGCCAAATGTATGAGCAGCCTGAAGAAAGGAAGGAAATTCCAGTTACTTTCAAGGGGTCTGAAGATAGCGAAGAGTTTCGAGCGACGTTTGAGGACTTGAAGAATGTGGCACCATTTGCCACGCCCAAGGCCGGTCTTAAATCATTTACGGAACTGAAGGATAACCTGCCTTTTGAGAGCCAGGCATCAGCCGAACTTCACATCGATGTTCCTCACGCTCATCCGCTAGTATTCCCCGAACCGCCGATCGCACCCAAGCTTCCACCCACGGTTGCAGTTGATGGCATCAAGCCCAACGTTGCGTCGTGGACGAAATACCTTGAGGAATTTGAAAGCTACCTACGCCGCTGGGATCTCTTCAACTCACAGGTGGTTGACCATTTTGCCACGCGAAAATCCAACATTTCACATGCAAGAGGATCAAAGGGCTATTCATTTCTGGGTGCTCGAGGGAATTCCGATATACTAGAGTATCACAACTGGCTGGAGCAGGATAACGGAGTCCGCCAAAGGTGGCTGGCAGCCTGTGAGGAGCACGAATTGCGATTCAGAGAATTCATGGCGTTCAGAGAGAAGATGAAGTAACGATACGAATGATACGACGAGCTTAGTTTTTTTTTTTTTATTCCTTACTTTGAGAAGGCGTTTGGGTGGTAGATCTCAACGAGCAACAAGCGACGGCCAGAACTTTCATGTTCATGATATGATATTTGCTTGATTCGGGTTTTCCCGGTAGCGATTTCGATACCCATGTCATTGGCTGAAGCATATGTGTGGGTTGCTCAGCACAGGGGGGGGGGGCTTTTTTCCCCCCGTTCCCTTTCCCTTTGAGCACTCCTTTTTTTCTTTTTTTCCCCTCGTTTTCATGGGTGAAGGGCATGTGAGATTATCGCTGGATACGGTACTAGATGGTTAGAGGATCTTTGATTTCGGAACAGCCACGGACTTGAGCCGCTTGGGGGGGTTGCCGGGTATACGTGTATAGTAGAAAGGTTTGCGTTTGGACGGGTCCCATAAAGCGGACGTCATTCGATGTTGCGGTAGCGAGCAAACGAGTTTACTTTCCGAGAGCCCATTCAAAAGGTCTTGGTCGTCTCCTTTCAGAAATGTTTCACTTCACTTTATCCCGGTTTTGTTTGATGGCCATATCGAGTTCCACCCTTACTTGAGCCATGACTGAGGAGTGACTTGGTTCTGAGCTGCTCATTCCCTAAGCGACACGTTAATTCACTTCACCGTCTAGTCAGATATATCTTGGCAGGCCACAATCTCCAAGGGCAAGCTTATATCTGACTTTTCACGAGGTGTAAAAGAATACACCCGCTTCATCTTCACACATCATCACAATTGTAAATCTAAGCGGAGCAAGATTCGCACAATCAGACTTCCAGGTCCAAGCCCTCAATCCACGAACACCAACTTAGCGAATATGGATTGCGACCAGCAGGAGAAAGGTTCATCGGCATGGACAGAAGAGGCCAAGGTACGTACTGCCTTCGAACTCAACCGTCATTTCGTCGCACATTATGTGACGCAAATTTGGAATGACTAACGAGGCTGTCATATTTACAGTTCCAGTTCTTGCTTCGAATCGTTGCGCAACTCAAGGGAGACGGCCGTGGAATCAAGTGGGAGAAGATTAATATTCCCGGCCGAACTGTCAAAAGTCTGCAGAACATGTGGACTAAAATAAACAAGCAAATTAATGACTTTGAGGCCCGGGAGAACAGTGGCGAGGATTTTGTTGTTGTCCCTGCCAAGCCGCGGAAGAGGGGCCCTCGTGAGTGATGGCTCTTTTCTCTAGACTTTCATGGGATTGTATGCTAATGGCTTTTGGGGGATTATCTAGCTCGCAAGAAGGACTCGGCCAAGACGGCAGGCCCAGGCCACGACGATCTCAACGACGACAGTTCTGATGTCAAGCAGAAACTGTTGAAGCGTGCTGCCGAAGGTACGGCCATACATGACTGCAGGCGAAGAGGACCCGGGAAAAGATGGTACTGACATGATACGATGACTTCATCTAGAGTATGAGCGCGAGCAGCTTGGAGGAGACAAGAAGCGGGCCAAGGTCAAGGCCGAGGCGACGACTGGCCGTGTCCGCGTGAAGAGAGAAGAGAAGTGCGGCGTTTGAGGAATGCCTCTTCATATGCTCGGATGACGGGCGATCAAGACGGATCATGGCTGTGCACGACCCGGGAAGAGGGGTCGATTTGCTGTTGACGTACGGATCCCATGTGGGCATATTACTTGTTAGGATCTTAAAGCCGATGGACGAGATACGGTGGACGAGCTCGGCGGAGCATATTTGCTAGCTATCACACACAACGCTTGAGACGTTGTCTTTGTCAGAAACATCAGAGTCGGGGCATCATCACACGGCCACTTCTTAGTGAATGCAACGCTGCTAGTGTTATGTACTGTACATGCATGGTGGTAGTCGTGTGTTCGTGAGTCGAATGCATGTAAGTGAAGATCTCCCACCTTTTTCCGCAGATCAGCAGGTCGGACTGGTGATTAGACTGCCGATTACGTGCATACGAGCTTTTGAAGCACTGGGCCGTGTTCCAAGAATAATATCCCGGCTGGGTCTTGTTAGGCGATATGCAGGCCTGGTGTTGTGACCCGTCTCCAAGGGCGGACAGGGCGGAGACAGCTTGTAGTTGGGGGGGATTTTTTTTACCAAGGTGTGTGTGTTGTGTGAGGGTGTTTGCTGGGGATGTGACGGCATGTGGGAATCCGATGCAGCAATCCCCAGGGGTTTTTGGGGGCTTTTTCAAGGTGCAGCGTGAGTCTTGTACAAGTACGTGCGAGTACTCTGTATCACCGGCGATGAAAGGGAGAGAAAGGGACAAAGGGAGCAAACAATGAATGACGACGATATTAGACTACCTTGCACACAGGCGGCGGTATTTGCTCGAGGGGCGCTTGTTTGGGTTGGGATGGAGCTGCCGGAGGGAGGCAAAAACCCAAAAATGAGGGTGTGAAGAACCTGGAGCTTTGGACTTATTGATGAAATCTGCCTATCCTGGTTGGTTGCTCGATGTAATACAAGCACAGGATTTGTGAAGGGGGGTGATGGTGGATGGTGTCGAGGTGGATGGTGGACCTACCCTGGAGCTGGAGCTGGAGCTGGATTTGCAGCTTTTCATCCGGCAATCACGTCTAGGTGTGCATATACAAGGCCATACCAGTCAAAGACGCGACAAGGGGCAGCTGTGGAATGACTACAAGTGCGTCCATAATAAACGGATGGATCGCAAACATCAGTCTAGCGGCTTCTTCCAGGCGGCTATTCACACGATAGGCCGGCGAGTGGCCCTGCAGTCTCTTTGCGGTTACCGCCTGTGGTTTTAGTGTGCGCTGATGCGGTACCTGAGGTACAAGTACGTGCCCGCTACAGCCTGCTGATCCACCTTTTTTTTTTCTCCACGACTCCAAAGGCTGCATACAAGGAAGGAACCGTTTTTGTCCCAGAACCGGCATCACATGGGCTGCTGCTTTGCTGCCAATTGTCCATCCACCACCATCCTTTGTTCTGCCGCTCTATCTCGCCTTTGTCTGCACTCGACATCACGCGCTTCAGTGCCTCTGCCCGCGTCTTTGATGCGCTGCTACCCTACGCGACACGCCGCGAGCCCGTCAATCGCTGCCACCCCGCGGTCCAGCGCTGATAGTCAATGCGCGAGACGGCGCACGCTGCCTCGACGAGTATAAGACGACACGGGTGCCGATTCGAGGCTCTATTTCGCCCCGGATACTTTTGGGCTCCTGGCTGCGACTTTGCTGCCGAAAACGCGGCTTCTCTGAACAACGGAGTAGTTCAAGGGCGACGAGCAAGAGGCTAAAAAAAAAAAACCGACATATATACCTGTATACCTACCCATCAAGGGACGAGAACAACCCCCTTCTCTCCGCCACCCCCAAGCTGCACGGCAGGCCCCGTCTTAGCCTCAGGGGTAGAACCAAAACAAACCGAACAATATACGAGTACTCATCGACATCAATAAAAATGAACGGCACAACGACGTCGGCGGGGGGCAAGAGAAAAGCTTATGAGCCGGCTCAGGCGGGCCCTCCCGCCAAGAGGTCACTCAACGGTAGCAACAGACACGACTTGGAAGTGGCAACGGCGGTTCCCGACATCACAATTGACGAGATGAGCTATGAGGAATGCTCTGACGCAGCTAGTGACTTGCACCCGCACGCCTACCTCGGTACTCCCGGCAGCTTCGGCGAGTGGCAGGACACGATCCAAAAGGTTGTTCGCAACGTGGTCGCCATTCGATTCTGCCAGACGTGCTCTTTTGATACGGATTCTGCCCTGACGAGCGAGGCCACCGGATTTGTCGTCGATTCAGAGAAAGGGTATGTGTTATGCGCTCTGTTATGCTACTGCTGTGTTTTCAATCTGGCCCGTCTCCTGCCAGCTAGATGGGCAATGAATCCATGCCGACCAAGAAATTGGGTTGAACGATTATGCTGACGTGTTACTTGCTTCTGCTATATAGTTACATCTTGACGAATCGCCACGTTGTCGGATCTGGTCCGTTTTGGGGACACTGCGTGTTTGACAACCACGAGGAGGTCGACTGTTACCCCGTGTATCGCGACCCTGTTCACGATTTCGGTATCCTGCGATACGACCCCAAGGCGATCAAGTATATGCATGTGGATGGACTCACTTTGAGCCCTGACTTGGCAAAAGGTATGTCGAGCTAGCGTGTCTTGTGTGAATAACAGCACGTGGGGGGAAGCAGAGTGAATAGAACAAAGGAAATTGCTGACTTACGATGGAATGTAGTTGGCACAGAGATTCGTGTTGTCGGAAACGATGCTGGTGAAAAGTTGAGTATTCTTTCGGGTGTGATCAGTCGTCTGGATCGAAATGCGCCCGAGTATGGCGACGGATACAGCGACTTCAACACGTGTTACTACCAGGCCAATGCTGCTGCCAGTGGTGGAAGTTCTGGAAGTCCAGTCGTGAACAAGGATGGCTGCGCCGTTGCGCTCCAGGCTGGTGGCCGATCTGATGGCGCCTCGACCGACTATTTCCTACCCCTAGACCGACCGCTGCGCGCACTTCAATGCGTTCAGGAGGGCAAGCCCATTACGCGCGGCGACATTCAGTGCCAGTTTTTGCTCAAGCCCTTTGACGAGTGCCGCAGGTTGGGACTCAGCCAGAATTGGGAGTCGGCGATGCGACAGGCTTTCCCCGAAGAGACCAACATGCTGGTTGCCGAAATCGTCTTGCCCTCTGGGCCTTCCGACGGTAAGATCGAGGAGGGCGATGTCCTCATCAAAGTAAACGGCGAGCTGATTACGCAATTCATCCGCCTCGACGATATCTTGGATTCGAGCGTCGGCGACACCATCAAGGTTCACTTGCAGCGCGGAGGCAAGGACATCGTGGTCGACATCGTGGTCGGCGATCTCCACAAGATTACACCGGATCGCTTTGTGACTGTTGCCGGGGCGAGCTTCCACGACATCTCCTACCAGCAGGCCAGGCTCTATGGCGTTGCTGTCCAGGGAGTCTATATCTGCGAGGCCGCGGGGTCTTTCCGTTTTGACAATACAGACAACGGATTCATCGTGCAGTCTGTGGACCAGAAGAAGGTGCCCGATCTGGATTCCTTCATCCAAGTGATGAAGCAGATTCCTGACAAGGCGCGAGTGGTTGTCACATACAAACACTTGCGCGACCTGCACACACTCAACACCACTGTCATCTACGTTGACCGGCACTGGTCGGCCAAGATGAAGCTGGCTGTTCGCAACGATGTCACTGGCTTGTGGGACTTTTCTGACCTCGGCGACCCTCTGCCGCCCGTGGCCCCTGTTCGGCGATCCGCTTCGTTCATTGAGCTGGACCACATGCCACACCCCGGCATCGCGGCCCTGATCCGCAGCTTTGTCCACATCAACTGCACTTTGCCCGTCAAGCTCGACGGCTTCCCGAAGAACCGGCGCTGGGGGATGGGCCTTGTCATTGATGCTGACAAGGGCCTTGTCCTCATTTCCCGAGCCGTGGTGCCGTATGATTTGTGCGACATCACCGTCACCATTGCCGACTCCGTCATCGTCGAAGGCAAGGTTGTTTTCTTGCACCCGCTGCAAAACTACACCATCATCAGGTATGATCCCGCCTTGGTGGACGTGCCCGTCATGAGCGCCCGCCTCAGCGACCAGCACCTCACCCAGGGCGCCAAGACGTACTTCTTGGGCTACAACAGGATAGGGAGAGTCGTGCATGGGTCCACCAACGTGACGGAAATCACAGCGGTTGCCATCCCCGCCAATTCAGGAGCACCGCGGTACCGCGCCGTCAACGTCGATGCCATTACTATTGACAGCAACCTCGGGGCGGCGTGTGGCAGTGGCGTGCTCGTTGCGGAAGACGGGACCGTACAGGCTCTTTGGCTCCAGTACCTAGGAGAGCGCTCCCCGAGCACTCAGAGAGACGAGGAGTATCACCTAGGACTGGGCACGCCAACTCTGCTACCAGTCGTCTCGGCCATCCAGCAGGGAGAGACGCCCAAGTTGCAGATGCTGTCGGTGGAGTTCCGATCCATCCACATGTCTCAGGCCCGCGTGATGGGAGTCTCGGACGAATGGATCAACAAGGTTACACAGGCGAACCGGTCTCACCACCAGCTGTTCATGGTTAGCAAGAGGGCATTTGAGCGGGTGAACCAGCCGGTATCCCTCCTGGAAGGCGACGTGGTGCTGACGCTCAATGGCAAAATCTGCACCACCATCTCCGACTTCGACGTGATGTATTCCAACGAGTTCCTGGACGCCGTCGTGGTGCGAAACTGTCAAGAGCTGCACCTCCAGCTGCCGACGGTTACCGCCGATGACATGGAAACGCATCATGCGGTGTCGTTTTGCGGAGCCGTTTTCCACCGCCCGCACCTGGCCGTCCGCCAGCAGATCAGCAAGCTTCACAGCGAGGTGTATGTGTCGAGCCGAATCCGCGGCTCCCCAGCCTACCAGTATGGAGTGGCTCCAACCAACTTCATCACCCACGTCAATGGCGAGCCGACACCGGATCTGGATTCATTCATTGCGGCGACGCGGAAAATCCCCGACAACACATGTGAGTCGCTTTTAACTTGCCCTTTTCTTCTTTTCTTTCTTTCTTCTTCTTTTCTTTCACTTTTGGTATCTTGTTCAAAGCACAGATCTAGAACTGACTCAATTTTGTTACAGATTTCCGCCTCAAGGCCGTCACATTTGACTCGGTGCCCTGGGTGATTACAATGAAGAAGAACGATCATTATTTCCCTACCATGGAATGGATCAAGGACAGCAACGAGCCCTGCGGCTGGCGTCGCGTGACATACGAAGGCAACCAAGTCTTTGAAGGGGAGGCGACTGATGGTATCCCAACGATTGCCGGCAATGCCGAGATGGAATAATATCAAACTACAGTCCATGGGCTATGAGCGGCTTGATGAGAGGGTCATCGGGATAATGGTATGCATGATGACGGAACTGTAAAAAAAAAACAACAACCACATATACACACACAAACACGGATGGGCAAATGGGTCAATATGGGCGTTTGACGGCTATGAAGGATTTCACATGGGATTTTTCTTGAGCTGTTTTCTTCTTCTTCTTCTCTTCTTCTTCTTTTCCCGCCACCCCTTGTTATTCCATTCACGGCATTTGTGGCATCTTATAAAGGAGGATTGGGGATAGGGCTTAGTGGGATGATTTCTCTCGACACTTGGTAGTCGGTAGAAGAGTATTAGCAGTCTGTGGGAACTCGCTGCATTGGTTACTGCACTATAACTTACTGGATCATTGGTAGAGACGTGGGAGTGTACAGCATGATGTATGTACAGAGGGAGAAAGTGAGAGAGAGGCTGTTTTGTGCCCGTAGAATACTTGGTACCACGTCGAGTAAATTTCGTCTGCCTACGGCTAATCAACTACGGCATACTATACCTTGGTATCCATCTTTCCATCCCCCTACATTACCTTGGTAGGTCCATGCACACGAGAGACATGCATTGCATCGTCCAACCGGTATCTTCTCAGACCACCAGATGCAGCAGCAGATGCAGCTTGCCGGCTAGTCCTATCACGGTCCACCACGTAGGGACTGCGCCTATCGGGTGCTACCAATGGCATTGGGGATAGATGCAGGTTCGTGAGAAAAGGGATTGGAAGTGTTGGATAGTAGCATGCGGGTACTGACATGGTTCATAGGTAATCCAGCAGTGGTAGTACTGGGTACCAAGACATGAGGCACTGTCCCTTTTGCCTTTGGTACTTGGCATTCATGCCGTGTGCCGGGTTTCCATCCGTGGTTGATTTCGTGAATGTTTGTCTCATGGCTGAACTGAACTGAACTGGACCAAATTCAGCTTGGCCCAACGATGATGGAGTTTGATCCATCATGGATGGCTTCAGATCCGAGGTGATGGATTCGAGGGCCCCGCAGCAACAAAGTGGGCAGCTTTCAAGGCTTAATGTTATTAGCGGGTACTGCTGTGGGCTAAGGATCAGTGGATCAATGGATCAATGGATTAGGTACAGGTACCGGTACCTTGAATTGGCAGCGAGACCACCAGTGACGTTTTGTCTCAACATCCTCCAGAAGCTCCGGTTTCGTGTCTGCCTACCTCATACCTCAGACCTCCAGGCACTCCACGAATTTAATCCTGCTGCCTCCAGTTTGCCCAATTGTCGATATAAAATCGTCGGTTCTATGCTCTCTCGCCATTCTCATCCTCCTCCGGTTTTCCTCCTTGGACGACTTCTTCTTCTCTGATTCCCGTAGACTATAACCAAACCCAAAAGCGAGAAATCCCCCGCGATGCCCCCCGCAGCTACCTGGCTGGTAAGTCTCGATTCCTTTCCACCTCATCTCACGAAACCCCGCCAGCTGCAGTGACGCAAGCCGCAAGAGCTGAGCTGAGCCGAGCCGAGCTGACGTTGCAATGGCCGTGGTTACAGACCAAGCTCAAGGTCCAGCTGAAGCTCGCCATTGCGCGCCTGCGCATGGTGCAGCAGCGGGATGAGCAGCTGGGCAAGACGCAGCGCCGGGCCATGGCGCAGCTGCTCGAGGCGGGCAAGGTCGACTCGGCAACGATCCGCGTCGAAAACATCATCCGAGCCGACATCACCAGCGAGCTCCACGAGCTGCTGGAGCTTTACTGCGAGCTGCTGCTTGCGCGGGCCGGGCTGATGGAAGGGCCTGTGTGCGACCCCGGGCTGGAAGAGGCCATCAAGAGCATTCTCTATGCGGCGCCCAAGACGGAGATCAAGGAGCTCGTGACGGTGCGGACGCTGCTGGCGGAGAAGTACGGCAAGGACTTTGTCCTCGCCGCCATGGACAACGCAGACGACAAGGTCAATGAAAAGGTGGTGAAGAAGCTGAGCGTGGAGGCGCCCCGGCAGGAGCTGGTGACGGGCTATCTAGAGGAGATTGCAAAGGCGTACGGAGTCGACTGGCCCAAGAGAGAGAGAGAGATGACGCCGCCACCTCCGGACTTGTTGGACGACGACGAAGACGTGGACGGCGGAGATCCATCGGGAGGACAGGCGCAGAAGAACGAACTGAACACGCCTCTGACGGCGGCGCAGAGGAAGCTCTCGCTCGGAGAGGAGCAGATGGACCGGGCCACGCCGCCGAGCGCGAAGCTCGGAGAGCCCAAGAGCCCGCTGATGGTGACGCCGCCGCGGATGACGACGGACAATGTGCACCCAAAGGTGATGATGGGGTCCGTGGAGCTCAAGAGCAAGAAGGAGGATGTGGCGGCGCCGAGGAAGAAGAAGGAGCCGGAAGGGTCAATACCGGACATTGGAGACCTGGAGAGGAGATTTGCGGCGCTGAAGAAGAGGTGATGTTTTTTTTGGGTGGTGTGCTTGTGATGTGACATGAGCTGGGGAGCTGAAGGGAAACGAGAAGCCGAGCGAAAGCATTTCGAGGGCACATGCGTGTGCGCGCGTGTTCGTGTTTGTATGCCTCTAATACCATACCATACCATACCATACCATACCACCCTTTTGTAGGTACCTACCGACTGAAGTTACTGTACAAGTTGCTTCCGAGTTGCAGTTTTGTGCTCGCATGCAGCGTCGACGTCGTGCTTCGGTTGCCTCGCTCAATTGGTGGCCGGCCATTTTATACAATGCCTGTCCATGACTTGCTTGCTATGCCTCGACGGGATTTGTACATGTACCAGCACTGCATTTGCTGTGGTTTTCTGACCCGTCTCCTCCTCTTTTTCTCCTCCTTATGCCGGCCTGCTGCTTCGGCGCGATTTGGACCAGTCACGAGGACTGGCTCCTGTTACACAGCATATTTGCCAATTCGGCTGGGCATTATTTAAGGTGCCAGCGTTGTCGTGCGTGTTTCCGTCGGGTTTTCCTTGTCCCTCCTCTTTTTCCTCTCTCTCTCTCTCTCTCTCTTCCTCTCTTCTTACCATCTTCTCACTCGCCATTCTGAGATTGTTTGCTTTTTTTTTGGTCAAATCTCGTGTTTTGCCTTGCCTTCTCCTTTCAATTGGTGACGCACCCTTTCCACGGCTTAGACTCTGTTCTCTCTGTTTTTTTCTCTTCTTCTTCAAGTCCATCAATTGCAAGTAGCTCTCGCTCTTCTTGGCATTTTGTTACTTGTTTACTTGCTGTCTATTTTGTATGGCTGCTGGTTGGCACACTTGCGTGTTTGCCTTTGCCAGAGTTTGCCAGCTGCCGGCCGCCTCCATGTCGCCTCACGTGCTCGTACGGGCAGAAAAGCATGAAGAAGAGAACCTACAGGCTTCTTTTTTCTTCTGCTTCGTCTGCCTCACCTTCTTCATCCTGGTTTCACTCCTTGTAAACTACCTCGAAACATACAAACGCAGACTCGTCAAGTTTCTCCTCATCCCCTTTGAAGCTCTCCAGGACGACGAGGAAGGTGATGATGGCGAGCAGCTTTTCCGTCATCTAACGCAGCAAAACCTCCGTCGTTTCGATTGTTTCCATCAGTTGGAATACGGCCACTGCAATTACGACAACCCTTTCGGTATGTCTGCACCAAAGTACGCGTTGGAGGACAAAGATGTGCTCTACCACGCCCAAGTCACTCTGGGCTGCAATGGCCTTCGTGATCTCTACAACCTTGGCTTCATGCGTCAAGACACTTTGGAAAGGCGAATCAAGGCTGCCGGCAAGCGCATCGGCTTGAACAGCACCGTCTCTCTCTGCGCCGTCTGGCTACGCGAGAAGATTGGCCGCACCTTTTCCACCACGGGCATGGGCATGCGGCCTGAACTCAAGGAGCTCTGCCTCTTCCTCCAACGCAGAGGCTGCTCGCGGGACATGTGCTGCCAAATCTTGTACGACGCCTTCCAGAAGGTGAATCAAAGCCATGCGAGCCAGGTTTCGCTGCGGGTTGGCAATGTGGTGCTGACGAGCTTCCGCGCTGTCGTCGACTACGTCTATGATCACTGGTATCAATGGCTCGACGAGCCGGAGACACCTGCGGGCGTGGTCGATCTCGAGGCGGGTCAGCAGAATAACGATGACGGCAAGTGGCCTTATCCTGCGTACAATCACAATCTCTCCACGTTGTCGCCAGCTGAGCACAGTCTTCACCTCGAGGCAAGCCTTGAGCAGCTTCACAAAGGCCATGACCACCATTCCCGTCGCGACAATGACGATGCCAAACGCGGGGCTCAGAAACGACAACACCCTGGATACTGCGCGCCCTTTGATCTTGGACAGGCTAGCTCCTGGGGCTCTGAGCCCAACCAGTCTGACCGATGCGCCACTCGACTGCAAGACTGCGCGTGTAAGCACTGCAGCATCATAGGTTGGCTTTCCCATCTTGCTGGTGAACCCATCTTAACCGCGGATGACATAGATTATCCTGGACAAGAGCAGAATTGCACTGGAGCTTCTGACAAAATGGTCATGAACCCTCAACGAGCGGCTGTGCTCGCCGACACTTGCCCCGTCGCGGCCGCCGCGGCAAACCACCCTCTCGTGAACGTTGCTCAACAATCGCAAGTCTCACTTGACAAGGAGATGGATAAGGAGTCGACGTCTGATCTGATCATGTTTTCTAGCAGCCCTGCAGTTGAAGAGGCCGCTGTTTACGCCAACAATGATGCCGCCGCTCGCCATGCCAAGGGCCGTCTGTCACCTTAGGAGGAGGTAAGTCTGCACCCGTCCCATTCCCTCACGAAGAAACAAGCCTGCTAATCACAGTGCTTGTTGAATAGGATCATGACGGCAGAAACTCAAAGGAAAGTATGGATGCAGAATGTGCGATTTCGTGCGATTTGATCAGTTTTGAGAACAACAGCGGTGGCATGGAAGAAGTTGATTATTTCCTAGCAGATGTTGAAGTTCATTCTGAGGGAGAAACGCAAGACTTGGGCATGGAGCCGCAAACCCAAGACGAGGCTCGCAAAAAGCAGAAGCTAGACGAATCATGTACTATGCAGCCGTCTCTGCTTGATGGTTCTCCGGAGAGGGGCATTGGACAAGGAATTATGACGGACATTTGTTTAGGTGTTGACAACAAGTCGATCCACAAGGATGCTTCCTACGACCCTGCTATCCAGGATTTATTTCATGCCCGAGGGAACCGTTGGGTGCAGAAAGCAAACCGTCCTACGGCTCTTGATATGTGGGATGCTGCTGATAGCACAACTTTGAAAGATGCCGTCCAGACGTATTAGCATCTGGCGTTATTGCATGCGCCGAGTCTCTCTCTTACCGGTGCTTTCGGGACAATGGCTGTTGTTCATTATTTCCTTGAGTTGATGGAAAATTATCGTCCCGGGTTTGCTTTTTTTTCATTGGGAAAGCGGAGGAGATTGATTTATCAGGGATGATGTGCTGGTTCGCTTATTAGGACGCTCTCTCAGGCTGCGATGTGGGAAAACAAGTAGACCTGGATATGCAGAACTGAGCCCACATTCCGCCCTATCATGATGATTTGATCCTCTCCCGTGGTTAATCACATGTTGATTCGATTTCTTGACAGGATGATGTTTACCTTGTAAGCGGGAATATTTAAGCAAGTCGTACTGTTACCTGTAGTATGCATTGAGGAGGATCACGGAGTTTGGGAGTAGATATTAGGAAGTAAGATGATGAAGAAGACAACGGCGCAACCAAGCCGATGGCGACCGATGTATTCAATGTTCCTATTGCTCCAATTCGCAACCTTCAAGATGCCCAAAACGCCAATGCTTTAATGCTCCGCGCTCCGCGCTATGCGCGCATGTATTGTATGCGCTCTGCTAGATTGCGATAGAACTCCAAATGATCAAATCCGAATCAATGTCCCCTCCGTCTTTAACAACTCCGAGCTGCGAAATGGATATTACTTGTACATTTTTGGCAAATCGCTTCCGTCCTTTCCGCTTCCTCTCCACCAAGAGGAAAAGGAAGAGAAGCATAAAGGGGGGGGGGGATATATAACGCCAGAAAAGAAGAAAAAAAAAAAAAAGTCGCGTCCCTCCCGCGCGCTACTACTCCAGCTTATCCAGATGCTCCAGCCGCGTCAAGACGACCTGCTTGCTCGTCTCCTCAATCTCGCCGGCGAGGAAGACCTCGTCGAGGATGGCGTAGACCTTGTAAAAGTTGAAGACGAGGTCGAGCTCGCAGACGTTGCCGAAGAAGGCGTCGAGGACCTCGACGAAGAAGTGGATGGCCTCGAGGAAGGCGAGCTCGTTGTCGTTTGTGTCGACGCAGGCGCAGAAGAAGAGGCCGGCGTAGCGGCGGTAGACGATCTTGTTGTTGCGGAACTCGACGAAGTTGGACTGGTACTTTTGGTCGCGGGGGGCGACGAGGCGGTGGACCTCGCCCTTGAGCTTGATCTTTTCGTCGTCGCTGTAGGGGGCGTACCATTTGGCGAGACGGGTCTTGCCCCTGTGTGTGTGAGAGAGAGAGATGGTTAGCAAGTTGGGCGAGTTTTGATGGTTTTTTGCGCGTGATAGATGTGGGAGGAGAGAAGAAGAGAGGAGGGGGGGAGAAGAGCTTACTGTCTGTTTTGGATGAGGATAAAGGAGAGCATGGTTGGAGTTGTGTGTAAGGAGGTTGGATGGTGTGGTATGGGGGAACTGGGCGGCGATGGGTGACGATTTGGTGTTTTTGGGAGGTTTCAAAGTGCTTCAGGGCGGTTTGGAGCCCGTTGCAGCGGCGCGCGTGGGCGATGGCGGGGCCGGAGAGCACGGATGGCATTGATGGATTGGGCGCGGGCCGAAAAGGGCAGTGGGACTTGAAAACAGCAACAGTTGGTGACGGTACGGAGTGAGAATTTGAATTTGATAGCTACGGAATATTAGTTGATTTTTCTTTTTCTTTTTAAACAGATGATGATTCTGTTTGGATGTTGTTTGGGAGGCTCAATGTGGAGAGAGCATAGATGTACATGGCTCTGTATGGGTAGGTGGCTTATTGATATCTGGATCTAATGGTGCTGGGTCTAGCAAAAGAGCCATGGACCACCAACTTAACAGAGACGATTGATGCTATTGTCCATCTTGGTGAGATGTGGAAGGATGTGTTATCCTGGAAGAAAAGAAAAGGCAAAAAACCCACTCATCAATCGTACCACTTGCTGTCAAGTCATCCCCACCGCATTGATTAAGCATGTCCGGATCACGGCTGCCGGATGCCATGCGTTGACTCGTACTCGCACCATATATGACGGGCGTGGCTATTCCCGAGATTTGCAGCTATCCAATGGATCCAATAGAGACCTCAGGTGAGTAATACACACTGAACTGGTTACGCGAGTGTATATAGTATCCAATTCAATTCTAGTTTGAGAGCAACACTCGAGCTATGGCTTTGAATACAGCGTTGGCCCTCTTAGTGGGCTCTGTTAGCATCAATCAGTTGAATCAACTGGACATCAAGTCCATCCATCCATTGTCCTACTGTCTCCCATTCATTCATCAATATCAATCGCTTTAGTTTAGCACCCAACCAACCTCGAAAGTCTTGACTCAATGCCGTCAATATTATAGAGCAACATTGAACGCTGCCACACCCATGCTCTAGCGCCCGACCCCACTGTAGCTAAGAAACCCCAGTGGCCTTTGCTATTATAGTCTAGCAGCCAAACGCCTTGAGCTCAGTGGCCTGATCAATCCAGCTTTTCGGATCTTTTCCCTTCCTGCTTCTCGGATCGACGACTCCTCCCCCCTGTGGAAAAAAAGCATGACCTCTCACCGATTGCCGATCTCGCCAAACCTGATTTTCCTCCATCTTTGAATCTCAAACAGTTTCATGGGATTTGATACGGCTTCCAATTGATATATAACTGATTGCTTCATCTGTTCTCTCCGCCTTTTCCTCGTCCATCTCCCTCCTCCCACCCTCCCATTCAGCTCGGAGTCCAATTGAAAGCTCCAGACCGATAACAAAAGACAAATGAAGCTCCTACCCTGGTATCCTCCTGCAGCCATCATCAGTTAATCAGTCACACTCTCGCAACCCTTCGTCGTCTTGCCGAGAGACGTCCGTTTACCTCTCCGGTCTGCCCCGGCTCAGCTCCAAGCGACAGGCGCTCAACAGCTACTCAAAACCAGTCCGGAGCCTTTGGACCAAGAATAATGAGGCTACAGAAGCAACGCTACCCGTCATGGCAATGGCAAAGCTCCTACGCGGGGCCGTCACCGTGATTTGGGGCGACTGCGGCACCAAGGCCCTTTGGCAGCGGATTCTCAAGGACTTCATGGCATGTGTTATTGCAACCATCATTGCCATTCTCCCCCAGCTCAGGGGCTGGTCGACTTTCCTAATACCAATGGTTGTTGCCTTTGCACATCCAGCCCAGCGAATGGGCGTCGTCATTGAAAACATCATCATGATCATCTTTGGTTCGGGCCTGGGCTTATCGTGGTGTATCTTGGGCTTATATCTGGCGAGTTTGGTCCATGACACCAACAAGCCTGCTGCTTTTACCATTCGAGCCCTCTTCTATCTTGCGTGCACCTTGCTCCACGGCTACCTGAGATCGTCTACTCCTCGACTCTTCTTATTTGTCTTGTTTGTCATTCTCCCCGCCATCACGCTGCTCACGGCACCAACTGTGGCCACGCCCACTCTGTATACAACAATCTATGTGCCAATCCTCATTGGCGTCGGAGTCATGTTTTTCGCCAACGTCGCCATATTCCCCGAGTTTTCCAGTAGCTATCTGGGTACTTCTACCATCAGTGCCCTCTCTGAAATGGTCGATGCTCTGGAGCGAGCCACACACTGGTTTGTTACGCCTGGAGGTGATCGTATCGAATCTCAAAACCAAGGAGAGCCTCTGATTATACCTCATGCTAACGATAATGATACCAAACAACAACACCAACAGATGCGGCGGATTAAGCAGCTCGCTATCCGCTACTGGCGCAAGTTCTCTGCCCCATTCCCCAACCCCTTTCTACCGGCCACCTCTGCCATCACAGCATCCAGATCACCGCTACATGCAACCACACTTGCGTCATTAACGGAGAGGAAGCCCATAATTCGCTCTAAACTTACATCGTGCAAAACTGCTCAAAATGAAGTCAATTTTGAGATATCCATCTCACCCCTTGCGCCAAGCGACATGAAGCCTATCAGTGTTGATCTCATGAGCCATCTTTCTCAGAGTATCATTACGCTGATTGGCGCCTGTGAAAACAAGTTCATCGTACTTGAAGATGATGGCCTAGACGAGAGCGATTCAGCGGCTGATGATGATGCGGTTCAATCGCCTGGGTGCCAGAGTGCTTTGGATGGATCTGTTACGCCAGCATCCAGCGTCCCAGAAGCGAACCTCAGGCTCAATTCTGGCGTGAGATCCAGGTCCAGAGCGAGGAATTCAACCGCTCCATTGAGTAGAGTGGACTACATCAATCTGAATAGGCAGATTGAACTGAGTAGCGCAAAGCTTCTCGAATCGATTGTCATGCGACTACGAGCTCCTATACAAGAGTTCCAGGCATCCACAAATGAGGCAGTGGCTCTACTGATATCTTGTTTGGCATACTGCTACGATGTTCCCACTCTACCTTCTGGTGCCCCTACCCCTCGAGGCATACATCTAGAGGAGATCGACCTGCGGGTCGACCTTTTTACAGATGCACTGGCGTTGTTTGATCAACAATCTACCGAACAGCTCAAGCTTATTGCCATGCAAGAGACGGGCCTATCGCTCGATTTCATGCCTCGCATGGAAACTTTTCTCATCTCATCTTTTCTCTTGGCCTTTCGCCAATCCTCGACGCACATCCTGAAAATGCTCCGCCATGCTCGTCAATTGGTAGAGCAGAGACAACGCCGCCATAATCGGCCGAGCATCTGGATCCCTCACTATTCAAGTCTTCGGAAGTGGCTGCGTACTGCCGGAGAGCGTGATTCAATGGTTCTACCCGAAGGCGCGAGGCAAGCCGCACGTCGAGGCGATTTGGTTGGCAACGGGCCGCCAATCTCCGAACCTAAAGGTTCTAGCAATATCCTTGATAGCGAAGCACAGCCAAGACAGAGAATGCCTGATGAGGAAGCGGGTTCTACAACTGCCTCTCAAATTTTGAAATCGCTGAGAAATAGAAACGTCAAGGACAAAAAGAAGGAGAAGCAAGGAGAGAAGCATCCCCGATACAAACAGAATGATGAGAGAGGAGAAGGCTCTTCTAATAGTCGGATTTTATGGCTTCGAGGTAAAGCGGCAGATGTGCTAGAGTGGGCTCAAGATTCCGATGATCTTGCCTATGCACTAAAACTCTCCTTTGCCGTCTTTCTTGTCAGCTGGCCAGCCTTTGTGCCATCTTGGAACGCATGGTACGGCGATGTCCACGGCGTTTGGGCTCCGCTGCAGTTGATATTCATATTTGAAGTGGCCATTGGCACGTCCTTGGTCACCCTTGTTGTTCGACTTATTGGGCTTGTTCTTGGCTGTACTGCTGGATATGTCTCGTTTGTCATCGCAGGGGAAAGCAGAGCAATAACAGTCGTGGTTCTCGCTTTCACGCTGTTACCTTCTGCCTATATACATGTCGCAACGAAATATGTCAAAGCTGGAGCAGCGGCCATTATATCAATCAATGTCGTTGCCCTAGGTAAAGCCTTTCCACCCTCCTCACGCACTCTCCCTATTTTTCTGACCATTTTCTCCAGCGTCGGCGAATATCAATACGGAGCCACCACACGAGGTCTACTATAAGCGTCTCATAGCATTTATAGTTGGGGGTGTTACTGCTACGTTAGTAGAGGTGTCGGTTTCCCCAGTGCGTGCGCGAGATCGCTTGGTGGAATCTTTGTCTGCCTGCGTGCGGCATATCCAGAACATGCAGGGCGCCATGTCCGTGGGCGTTGATGGGCCTGAAGTTGTTGATCCTCGCTCTCCAAAACTGCATCGTCGTTTTGACAGATGGCGCGAAAAGGCTCAGGCCTCACTCGCAGCCGCCGAGACGTTTCTCCCCTTTTGTTCTTCCGAACCCCGCCTGAAAGGTAGCTTTAAGAAGCTTGCACCTATCTACACCGAGATTGTCTATGTGCTTCATCAGATCATTGATCGGATGGACAACGTCGTACAGCTCCGAAGGGCTTACGGCTCCTCTGTTTTGGAGGCCTTGAACCCGCAAGCTTATACGTATCGGCGAAGCATGGCGGCAAGCTGCGCCCTAATGCTGTTTTCCGTCAACGAGGCACTGACAACTTGGCTTCCGCTCCCGCAATTTATTCCCTCGGCCCGTGTGGCACATCTGCGGTTGATACATCGGGTCCGTGAGATTATCACATCGCAAGCGTCGACATCGGCTCCGGTAACGCCAACTGTAAGCGATGCTAGCCATTGCAAGAGCGCGAGTGAGTGCGAAGACCGGGCAAATGAGAAGGTAGCTCGTTTGATAACCAAGCATAACTTCCTCTCTTGGAATGCCAGTGCTGCTGGTCAGATGGAAATCGTCGAGTATCTGGAAGAGTTGGTTGAGCTGGTCAAGATGCTGGTGGGAGTTAATGCTTTCCGCTCTGGAATGTTGGAGAAGCCAAAGTATACGCACTATGCGCAAATGAAGGATTCTCGGCAAGAGTCTTTGACAATGGCTCGCTCGAACACATCCAGCGGCTCATCAACGGCTCACCAAAGCGGTGTTTCTCAGCAGGAAGAGATGGGAGAAGTACAGGATTTTGCCCTTAGGCGGATCGACTCTGTTGCGGTCCGCTCCGAGGCATCAAGTCATCTGCCACAAGGCGAGGATTCTGCGACACGAACTGGCCGCAGAAGAGAGAGTACATATGAGGAGAATCTAGGGGAAGTGCCTATTAGCTTGCAGAGGGTCAACTCTCGACTTTGGCAGGGCAATGGGACTGCAAGAAGGAGGAGGTCGACAATCACCAGTTTGCGATGAGAGTTCACTAATGGTTCTGGGCATGAATAATGAACAAATAGATACAGGGAAGGCGTTTTTTCATTCTCTACTTGGTTTAAACGGGCGATATTTCAATGGTTGTCTAATTTTTGCACCTCATGCCATTTTTTTACATTGCGAAGCGAACATTGGTAACAACAGCTGCTGAAAGAACGACGAACAGATGCTATTTGCAGAGGGGCATAAAGAACCTGCGCAGCATAGTCGGCCTTGATGTTAATAGAGGGCATTGCCCGCATTAAAAAATCCTGAAATGATCCTTTAAAGAGTGTCGACCAAAAGTCTAGATGAACTGAGCCCACTTACACGCCGTGAAGGATGCGCTTATGTCGAATGTGTGAAACTATGATCCTTTCACAAACCCCCACCAAAGGAAGAGCGGCGAATCATGCCGAATCACGCAGAATTAACGCCGGATCGCGTGCACGCCGTTGCTGCGACTCCGATGTGACGCAAAATCGATGTGCCAAAGCTCATGCCATCAAGGTATGTGATATACACACGAGCCAACTGCGTCTCATTAGAGCCTCTCTGGATTTCTCATATTATTTGCCAACTCCGCCTGCGTTTTGCATCGGTTTCAACGAGTTTTGACTCATTCATCTATCGCATTTATCCTTTAAACCTTTTTTAATGAGCTTCGCGAAGCCCCAAGCGGGGCTGACAAATGTCACCGGCGTCTCGGTCTCTGACGGCGGTATCTCCTGGAAGGACAGCAATAATGGCACAGGCGAAGCAAAACGCCAGAATCTGCTGTTTGTTCTTGACCTTGCACAATCCCCCAGCCAAAAGACGGGCTTCATAATTTCAATTTTGGTCGAGAGCCCGGAGAGTCCAGAAGACCGCTTCCGACTGCTGCTCTTGCTCGCGGACGCTGTCCCCGATGAGCTCCGGCAGCATCGCATCACCGGCCTGCCTTCTTATTTGCGGCCTGTAAATGGTAAGCAGGAAGTTGACGTCGTTGTATCTACGAAATCGGGCGTCGGTCTGTCTCTGCAGTTCTGGCAGAATGTATTGCAACCTCTCTGGACTGTGATCGCGGAGCAGTCATCCGATACAGTCATCCGAGAGTCACCAAACGTTCTTGTCACTGAAGATGCGCAAAGCGTTCGGAATTTCGCCCGACAGGTTGGTGGCTCTGAGGGCAAATCGACTGGCGAAATCGCTCAATCAAGGACCATCATTCTTCTAAGCGGAGATGGCGGCGTTGTCGACCTCATAAATGGCAGCTCTCACGATGAATCTGTATTGGAGCAGCGGCAGTTACTCTTGGCTCTTCTTCCGCTGGGCACCGGAAATGCCCTTTTCCACTCTCTGCACAAGCCCCTTTGGGCAACCCAAGATGGCAAGACGGAAGAAGCTTCTCCTCTGGTCCTGGGTCTGAGGACGCTATTCGGCGGCGTTCCCGCAAACTTGCCTCTATTCCGAGCGTCGTTCTCCCCGGGGTCGCGCATCGTCAAATTCACACCGACGACTGAAGTGCCTTTGGGAGACGACGCCTCCAGTAATCCATTGCATCTCGAGAAAGAAGAAACTCGAGTGTCGCATCTCTTTGGTGCCGTGGTCGCAAGCTACGGCTTTCACTCTAGCATAGTCTACGAAAGCGATACCCCCGAGTACCGCGTCCACGGCGACAAACGCTTTGGCATGGTTGCCCAAGAGCTCCTCCGCGAATCACACCCTTACAATGCACAAATAGATGTTCGCCGTCCCTCTTCGTCCTCGGCATCGCAGTGGGAGACCATCCCGGGAGACAGGCATGCCTATGTGCTAGTGACGCCGCTCTCTAACTTGGAGCGCACATTCACGATATCTCCCGCGAGTAAGCCTCTTGATGGGAAGCTCCGTTTAGTTCATTTCGGCACCATAGGGGGCGAGAGGACGTTGGATGTCATGATGAAGGCGTATGACGAGGGAAAGCATATTGGGATGAAGTGGGATGATGGACACGAGGTGCGGTATGAAGAGGTGGACGAAGTGAAGGTCACGGTTTTGGAAGAGGATGAGCGATGGCGGAAAGTGTGTATTGACGGTACGATTGTTGACATACCTCAAGGAGGGGAGCTGTCTGTACGAAAAGAAGAGAAGAGCGGGTTTGACATTTTGGTTGATTCGCGGGTGCTTCCAAGCAGCTGAACAGAGCGATGGATTGGATACAGTGGATTTCAAGCAGCTGAACAGATAGATGGGTTGCATACAGTGGATTTCAAGCAGCTGAACAGAGAGATAGATTGGATACAGTGGATTTCTAAAGCGCGCCAGTTCCATTAAGATTAGATATTTCTTCAATATAGCCTGCCCTCTCACTCATTCGATAGCGCAAGCCTTGGAAAAACAACCTCATAGACCTTCCATCATTTTCCTCGCCCTCTTCTCTATGACGCGTGAAAACCCATCAACGCCGTCTTTCAGCTCTGTGATTCCTCCACCTTTAAGTCGATAGACGATTCTCCTCCGCTTCGTTTCTTCTTCCCCTTCTTCTTCATCATCGTCTTCGTCGTCTCCCGCGTCGTCGACCTGGCCCTCTATGGCCCCGCGCATAAACCATCTGTCGTGGCTCACCAGCACAACAGCGCCCTCCCATTCGTTCAACGCCTCTCGCAGCGCAGTCACTGTCTCGTAGTCGAGGTGGGTGGTGACTTCGTCGAGTACAAGGCACTGCGGGTGTTTCCAGAACAATCTGGCCAGCTGGCATCGCACCAGCTGGCCACCAGATAACTTGGAAATGGGCACATCCGATGCGAGCCGGCCAGGGAGACCAAGTGTGCCCAGCAAGCCACGTATCTCTCCTTCATTGAGCGCGCCGTCAACCTCCTTGGTCAGGAGAGCAAGTGAAGTCAGTCCATGCTCAGCGCGACCAACAGCCTTTAACTCTTCGACGGCATGTTGGGAGTAATAGCCCATTCTGAGGCGCGGGTGCGTCGTGAGCGTACCGGACGTTGGCGACGACTCTTCAACAAGGAGTTTGATAAGTGTCGATTTACCAGCACCGTTCAGGCCGAGAATACCAATACGATCGCCCATACTCACCGTGAGGGTGACATCCTGAAGAATCATTGGAGATTTGGATGAATATCGGTACGACGCCTTGTCCAGCGAGATGAGGGATCCAGGAAACCTCAGCTCAGGAGGTTCGGGTAACGAAATTATGACGGGTCGCTGCTCTGGCGGAATCTCAATTCCCTCTCGGCTGGTAAGAAAGAACCCGACGAGATCCCTATTCAGCTTGAATCGAGTGCCCTTGGCGCTGACTTGCATTCCCCAGCGGTCATCGAGCTTTTTCTGCCGAGACTTTGCCTGGCGAATCTTGTTCTGGTCATCATTGGCTTTGCCAGCCTTGAGATTCTGCGCAATGGTCTTCTCCATGTGGGCTTTCTGCTTGTCTTGGGCCTCCTTCATCTTGATGAGCCACTGCCTTCGCTCGGACTGCGAACGTTCGTATGTTTGAATGTCGCCGTGGAAGTAAGTAAGCTGCTTATCCTTCAAGATGAGAAGATCCGTACAGAGCGAGATAAAGTCGCGATCGTGAGAAACGAGAATCAGTGTAGGAGGCTTCTCTGTATCTGCCAGAGCCTGCAAGTAGCGCTGTAGCCAGACAATTCCCAACAGATCTAAGAAATTGGTGGGTTCGTCCAGAATCAGAATATCGGCCTCCTGCAGCAGAGCCGATGCAAGTGAAGCCCGCATGTGCCAGCCTCCAGAAAGGCTGGACAGGGGCTTTTCCACGTATGCCTCGGTGAAGCCAAGACCCGTGAGAATGTTTCGGGCTTGGACTTCAATCTGGGCCAGTCTTGAGGGCTCAACTTGGATCTGCAAATCTGCCAGCATGTCGGCTGCCTCTTGGGTCTCCACTTGAAGAGCTTCGGCCGAGATTTCGTCGTCGGGCTGTTCGAGCCTATATACGGCGTGCTGTTAGTAACAGGAGATGGATTGCCGAACTCAATGATATATCAACCTACAAGGCTTGTGAGTCCGCAACGACCTTCTCAAATGCCACGAGAGCTTTCCTCGCCTGCAGCCCTCGAGCACCGCTTCGTAGCCTAGCCTCTTTGTCTACCAGAAAGTGGCGCTTCTGAAGCTTCTCATGCTTCAAACCTCTCAAAGCCCGAATAGGAGCGTATGGATCCGCGGCATCAACGCCCTCCGAGAGAACTAGTAGCTGTCAATTAAAGCGTCGTATATGTAATCGCAAAGAATATGTGTACCTTTGATTTCCTGCTCAATCGCGCTTCGGGCAGTGGCACGCTCAATGACTTCTTGCAGCACAGTTCCCTGGCCACTTTTCTCCGTCCTCGTCTTGTCATCATCATCGGACTCTGTGAGCTTCGTCTGCTGCAAAATGGCAATCCTGGAGCCCTCTTGAATCCCGGGAATGAGCTTCTGAGCAATAGCCTTGAGCAATGCTGTAGCGATTCGATTTTATCCCTTGGTCAGTCTCCTCGCAACCTCTCGTGCTAAGCATGTGAATTCTCACTCGACTTCCCCGTGCCATTGCGGCCCACCAAGGCGTAGCGCTGGCCTTCTTTCAATCGCAGCTTGGCATTGGACAAGATCTCGAGGCCGTCTGATTTTGATTTGCCTTTGGATTTGCCAGCAGCTTTTTCGGGCTTGTCTGCCTTTTCGCCGGACGTAACGACGATGGTGAGACCATCGATGTCGAGCTATTCTCTTCGATCAACAAGCCATAGAATCAACGGTGCCGATGTGACGAACCTCGCGGTAGCTGGAGCTGTCGATGTTGAAGCGAGTCTGCTTGGCCGTGCAGAGAATCGTGGCCACCGACTCGGCTGCCATGGATGTCATTTTGGCGGAACACAATCGTTCAGTTTTGCTTGAGCTCTGTGTAAATACGTGGGGGTTGCTGCTGTACTCGTAGATGGAGTCTGGCAATGCAGCACATCAAGTGACTACTGAACAAAGCCAATCTGATTGACGAAACAAATCTTGATCATGTTCAAAAATTGGGGATCCAGCGGCTTTATGGCAAAGCATCATTTCTTTTTGCGCAACCATTCAAAACGATGTAAACACGGAGGGCAACAAGAATTCCGCGGCCAGAGGTGCAGCATCTAGGGCCCGCCCGCCACTGCCCCATTTCCGACGCGGCGTCTCCAACGGCCCATGGCCCGGGTTTGGCTCTCAGAGTGAGGGCCGGTCCGTCGCCCAACTGGAAAAACCAAAACAATCGGCAAACAGATCAAAGACAGTGCGAGGCATCGGCCAGTGACTCATCCCCGGAAACATAGAGTCTAGCGCCGCAATTTCAAAGCCACTCGCAGTGGTGTCGCGACCCTTATATGCTCGTCTCAATTCGCCAATCGTGAATGACTCTTCAAATGACTCCTACGGTGATATGGCGCAAAATGTCCCAAGATCTGCATCGCATTTCACTCAGGAGAGCGTATCCCGACTGTGATGCCCACTGAACAATCTCGGTGACACTCACCCCTCCTCAATGGTAGGCCATACACACTCTTGTCCTCATCACTCGTACGGCAGCCCTCTGGCAGCCAGGTTGCGACTGGAATGCACGATCCAACCCAGCAGACGACCATGACGCCTCCTTCTGCTCTACGCTCTCGTGGGTTCGTACCTGAGGTAGCAAAGACTTCTGGACAGCCTCAATCACACCTTAGATGAAGACCGTCGACTAGCCCTCCATGTACCAAGTACGAACCCAAGCAAGGTATACCGTCGTCGCTCATATGGTAACCCTCTCGTGGCCAATGGCAAGCAGAAGGCACGATCCAACCCAGCAGATGACGACGACGCCTTCTTCTTCTTCTCTCGCGTTCTCAGGAGTGGCACGATCCAGCAGCAGATGACGATGACGCCTTCTTCTTCTACGCCCTCAGGAGTTCGTACCTAGAGGTAGTAAAGACTTCTGGATGGCTTCAATCACACCCAAAATCAAGATCATTGACTAGCCCTTCATGTACCAAGTACGAACCCAAGCAAGCTCCTCGTCTGCTCGATGCCGGACCTTGAACCTGGCCCGACCTGACCTGGAGCGATGTGATGATGTGATGCTCCGAGCGGAAGGACAGGGTGAGGGCAGCCATCCTCACTGCTCAGCATCACTACCTACCTTGATACCTATGCATGGAAGGACGTTTGACGACGACGCCTTCTCCTTCTTCTACGCCCTCAGGAGTTCGTACCCGTAGAGGTAGTAAAGACTTCTGGACGGCCTCAATCACACCCAAAATCGAGATCATCGACTAGCCCTCCATGTACCCAGTACGATTCCAAGCAAGCAGCTCGTTTGCTTGATGGCGGACGCTGACGTGACCCGACCCGACCTGGAGCGATGTGATGCTCCGAGCGGAAAGACAGAGTGAGTACAGACTGGGTACTGTGGAAGGCTTTGAGGCAAGCCATCCTCATTGCTCAGCATCACCACCTACTGATGTATGTAACGTCGTCATCACGGCTGTTACCAGCCAGTGCGACAGTTGCGTCTTCGGTCACCAGCAGTTGACCGGTATACGGTTGGTCCGTACGGATGATTCCTTTCTGTCCCGGCGTCCAGACTTGCATCGGCGCATGGGCATACTCGAAGACCCTGCGGCTGTCTATCATCTATGCGTGGAGGGGCGTTTTCTGACATGGGATTTGAAAGGCGTGCTGCAAAATTCATACAAGCACGCTGGAACTCCCGCCACAAGGACCGTCACGTTGCTAGTACACAAGCTGTAGCATCTTTCAAGTGATACGCATTCAACCAGGCTACTAGGTAGAGAAAGCTTTGCTGTAGATCAACACAATCTTGCAAACTACTTGGGGGACTTCAAAATCAGCCAGATCCCCGTAGTAATAGTGATTTCCCCGGTCAGACACCCCCCCATAGTGTGTGGAGCTGCCACGATGATCTGGCTGATTTGAAGCCCCCCAAAAAACAATCCTGACAACAGCGAGACCTGTCACCTGGAAAAAAAAAACTGGCAGATCGAAAGAAATCTGGCAGGAAGCCTGTCAGGTTGAAATCGCTGTCAAGCTGTTTCGATGCCTGCAAAAAAAAAAAAAAAAAAAAAAAAAAAAAAAAAACCGTACCTCTAGCTTATCTCATAAGGTACATGTACTAGGCAGGTACCACCTATAGCGCCTGGCGCAATTTTCGCACAGTTCCAAGTTGTTTTCAAGGTCCGATAGGTACCTAACGTGCACCTACGTTTGTGCTCAAGAACCCAACGACTGCATGCCTCTCATTGTATATCACCAACAAGGGACTGCCTGCGAACTGGCCTCGTACATTGGCCGTCCATAGGTTCAAAGTCTCGAACGGCAATTCTTCAATATCAAGTACCCTAGTCGGCGGCATTCTTTCGACACGGCTGGCTCGAGATTCTGAGCGTGATCGCTTGGCTGGCTGTCCTTCTGCTTCATTGATTTGGCTGGATCGTCTCTTTGTGTATCGATACCATCTCTACTACGGCTACCATCTCTACCACGGCTACCATCTCTACTACGGCTACTACCGATACTACAGCCTCCAAGGCGTCATCATCCACCACGGCAGTCTTCGCGTCCAATCTACCACAATGGATGAAATCACCACAATGGATGAAATCACCTCATTGGATGAAATCACCTCGTTGGATGAATTTTTAGAGCTTCATCGTCAGGTCCAGGAGGAGGAGCGCCAACTTGAGAAGGAGCAGCGCCGGCTTCAGGAGACAGAACGTTATCTGCAGGAAGAGGAGCGTCAATTTCAGTTTGTGCTTCAAGAGGAGGAGCGTCAGCTTCAGGAGGAGGAGCGTCAGCTTCAAGAGGAGCAACGCAGGCTTCAAGGGGCTGAGCCCAAGACTTTACGGGAATTTATCGAAACCTGCCACTCTCTTCATCTCTCTATGCAAGTGGTGGCCTCGCCCTTTAACACCACAATCTCAACGGAGGCAACACTAGCTGGGTACATCTTCCCTCGCAGGATTGTTCCTTGGAATGGCTTCGCGGCAACGCAAGAATGGATCTGGAATGGTCTATCGACTGCCAATTTCTTTCACTCTCAGCCACAATTTCCATCGGAACATCAAATAGACTACGTGAAATCTCGCATCAAGCCAATCAGAAGCGAGTTTGGTCTACGCAATTTCGAGCGGGCAGCTGTTGAGGATGCCGTTGAAATCTTGTTCGAGCGAGCATGCGAGAATCCGCGGCTACAAAGCAGCCTCAATCTGCAAGGGGCTGTGACATTCGAAAGTCACACAAATGTCGAGGAGGAGGTCGGGTTAGAAGCGCCCAACAAGCCTGAAGCGCGGCGCAAGTCGAGGGGGAAGGGCAACAAGGCCGATGAGTGTCTAGTTTTCAAGACCTCAGACGGCGCCCAGGTTCCCGTGGCGGCCATACAGTATATGCCTCCACAAAAGCTGAGCATCGACCAGCTAGTAACAGGCCTTTCGTCGGAAATTTGGCTAGAACGCGATGTCATCAATACGAATGGCGACGATTTTATTTCGACATCAAGGCGGCTCGCTGCCGCCGTTATCACGCAGCTGTTCTCTTATATGATTGACAAGGGCCTTCAATACGGCTATGTGTGTACGGGAGAGGCCTTTGTCTTCCTCCGCATTCCCGATGACCCTTCCATCGTATACTTTTCCGTATGCGTTCCTAGTATGGACGTACTGGAGAATGGTGACCTAAAGCTCCATCGCACGGCCGTCGCCCAAGTCTTCACCTTTCTTCTAACAACCACACGCACAAAACCACCACCGGACGTCTGGCATAACGAAGCTGAAAAGCTTGGTATTTGGGAAGTCGAATACGATGACGTTCTTGCGAAAATTCCACTCGCGGACCGTAAGCGCAATGATGTCCTAATTGCTCCCTACCAGCCCCAGTGTTGGGAGGATTTCAAACGGTTTCCTCTTCAGACCCGTCGCTCTCTCGCTACCGACAGCCGGATCTTGGGACAAAACGCCCGGCAGACGAAGACTTTCTTTCGCCTTTTCCAAAGACTTCTCGTACCGGTAGGAATGTAGCCGCAGCAGAGAAGTCAGGAACCGGCAAAACGGTCGATGAAGAGCCTGTACAAAGGTGGCTACGACGAAACAACGCAACCTCATATAGGGAGCCGGCTACTTTGCTCTCGACAGTGCCTCCTTGGCCTAGCACTCGGAAAAGACGTAGATGAGAGGTGTCCTAACGCTGAATGCCACGAGAGAAGCGCATTGGCTGGCTTGAGTTTCTACATCTTATAAGAGAGCAACTTGCTTTAGACCGCGATCGCGAAGCTGATTGCACGCCATTGCACCGGTCTGGATTGCGTGGCTCGCTCTTCAAGCTACGACTTTCATCACACGGCTATACACTCGTCGCCAAAGGGATGGAGGTGGGCGGCCTATGCCAACCAAATCAACAACCTCAACTGCAATTACAAGGATAATTCAAGGCGATACACAAATTACGAGTTCTTCATCGCGATGCAGAGCTGCGCAACTTACTATATGATGAACATGGCGGCACTCTCGTGGTTGTCGATTTCGAGCGTTTGGTATATTGGAAATGTCAGTCTCAAGCATCCGTTAGCGGAAAAGACCGCTAAGTCAGAAAGAAACGTGGAGAGCCAAGCGGAGGAGAGAAGAAGCGAGACAGCAACATGAAGAAGCGCAATCATTCAGCAATATCAGCACCCAACCAGCTTATCAAATGGTGCTTTTGTAAGAGAAACCAACAGCTGAATTTCACTATATAACTATAGAAGCAAATACTATAAGAATATAGATGGAGTAGTAGTTACTAGAGAGATATAGATATAGTAGTAGTTACTAGACAGATGTAGATATAGTAGTAAATACTAGAGAGATGTAGATATAGTAGAAATAGTAGAGAAAATATAATTACTACCTACTAGGTAGTAGGTATAGTAGTAGATACTTAAAGAACAGGCGTGTAGTTCAACGCGCGAGTGTTCGAAATCTTCTCGGTCTCGGTGTTTCTGTCCTCTGCTGGGAGCTGCAGAAACAGCACAAATTAGGCATACATAGAGAAGCAGAATTGATAAAGCAAGGGATGATAGGCGGACCAATCCATCAGAATTTCAGCTCAGCTGGCATCATCCATCTCCGCACACGCATTTGGAGTATGAAGAATGCGGAGTGCATGTAAGTGAAGCCATCCATTCACATGCTGATCGCCTTGGAACCGCACCTTGGCAAACTTCCGCAACTGGCCGCGCTATTAATAACAGAAACGCCCTCCATTGCACGCAGCCGCTTGGCTATCGTGTTATGCACGACGTAGCTGGTCCTCGTGAGATGCGGTCACGCCTTAGTTCCAGTTGTCGGTGCAACAACACGATGAACCCGGAGCCTCAATCCCCTCCAGCATCTCTTGTCATTCTTCACATGACCCGCCTGTCCGCTCTGTGTAACCCCAGAGACACAGGTCAGTCCCTAAACTCTTGATAAGAAGCACCCAGTTTCACCGATCGCCCTCTCTCCTCATGCCACGTTTTTTGGAGGCGCCCAGCGTTGCAGCCAACCAGCTCGTATCACTCTCACCTTCCCCCACGCATCCGCAGTCCGCTTTACATAATGATGATTTCGGTGGACGCTCAATTGATCAATGGAAGCCGATTTTTGCATCAAGTTTTATCTTGAATCCCGTGCCGCCAGATAGATGGAGCGAATCCATAGTTTCGTGTCATCAATGTTATCAGCACACATCATCGCCCGCCGTTCGCGCCACTAACAATTATTCAGACGGCAATCAGCCGGGACGAGGCCCAATCCGCCACCGGTTACAGCCATAGCGGATGAACCGGCGACCCTGCGCGCGCTACAGCAGTTGAGAAGCCCCAGCAGCTAGCCATGGGCGTTGGAGCCGCCTGAAAGCTCCCCCAGGAAATGGCTGGGCCCACCAACCAAGATGGAGGCAGTATCGGAGCAGAAGGTGGAAGTTGGAGTTTGTTGCCGGCCGACTCCGCAGTCGGGCTATCAATGGGAGTGCGAGATAGCAGCCTGTTGCGGTTAGGCGTTGGGGAAGGGATCTAGATAACAGTCTTACTAGTATCCATGATTCAAGGAGATTGGAGTTTGTATGATGCCTGTACTTGTATGGACATGTTCATGTCATTGATATTTAGTCTATATCGTCATGTACTACTTGTATACATGTATGTGTGTATGATACCTCGTGGCCAGTCTTCAAACATATCAATGTACATTAGCTCGTTGCACCACGCAAGCCATCATTCATCAACACCTCAGACACAGAGCAAACGACACAAGCTGAGAGCATCCCACGACTTCCCACCCCCGTCCAGCCGAGGCGGCGCATCATCTGACCACGACCTCGGCCACCCGCCCAATCGCGGGTCCCCTCAATCAACCTCTTGCTCCTGTGCGGACACTCCGGCCGGCCAAGCGTGGGACCGTCCACACTATCTGCCTGTAGTGGTCTGCGTCTGTTATCTCTGTTAGGCAAACTCCCGTCTCTCGGTGGCGTTCGGCGTCCGCTTGTCAGATTCCCACCGGTGTTCATGCACGCTGTGTGATGTGTGTCTTGTTGTGTTGATGCCCTGTACGCCGTATTCCGTCTGACCTTGTAGTATGTAATCTGTGGTACGAGCTGTAGCAAAGACGAGGATTGATTAGCCGGAGTGCAGATCCGTGTCAGATCTCTCTCGGGTCCCCAGTTCCCTTGCCACTACATGAACCCAATCTTGCCCATCTTGAACTGACAACCCCTTCTTCCTTTTTCTCCACCTCGCCTTTTGTCTATTCTGATCTGGTAAAATCATCTATACCAATTTCCCACGATAGTACGTTCTCACGTCGACTCTATTCATTGTCCTGTCTATCGCCGGATAGAAGGCAACAAGGAAAAGAAGCGAAAGGAAAACGGACGGGGAAAGGGAACCTGAAAGACTCGTAACTGAGCCTAGGTCATTCAACCCCGTGGGCTTGGGAAAGAGGCTATCCTTTTTGTATCCCCCTCTTTTGGGTGTTTTTAAACCATTGCTTACCTCAACTATTATTTTTTTGACTCTTGTTGCCGTATTCTAACCATCTTCATTGGTTACCACCCGCCATCATCATCATCACCGCCTTCACAAACACTCGTCTCGTTTCCCCCATTGTGGTCTCCGTCTCTATCTTCACCCTCTGCATAGACGATATCCTTCCGGGTCGTCGTCAGTGAAGTGATTGATTGTTTGACTGGTGATTCATATCGATCCACCGCCGTCTCTCCAACTTGAAATCGAAACGAAACAAAAAGCAACAAAACAAATCCATCTTTGCCAACCGTTTCGACTTCTTCTTTCTCCCTCCAAAGTTCCTATATACTACTCCAATTTCCCAACTAAACGGTCCTGAGGCCTTAAACACCACATTGATGTCGGTTGACCTACGCGACTGCCTCAATTGCCTGCAGCACCCCTCCAGGTTTATGCCCGTTTCGAGATCCCAGCTCTCAAGAGTTCATACAGGCGATAGTGCTCAGAATATTATACGTGAGTGTTCATATGGAGCCCACCAGAATCAATCACTAAACCGGGCGCCTCTTTTTGCGTTTCCCACTTATACAGGCAGTATTATCGAGTGAAGGAGTCAAAAAGAACTCGAAATTAAAAGACAAGATAAGCAAGAGTTGGACAAACAGCTAGCCCAGCATGGCGCATGTTATAAGTAAGACGGCGATCAATACCATTGCTACGACAGCTTCCCCCGTCGTCGTCGTGGACCGTCGCCGCTCCCTCGTCCCTCAGGCCTGGGAGAAGTCTGTCCGTAAGATCGGTCTGGCCGAGTGCGAGCAGGCGGGAGTCTCTCTCGCCCACGCATTTGCCGCCGATGCTCTGAGCATGTATCTTCTCGACGGCGACGGCGAGGACCGCTACTCGGACGAGACCAAGTGGAAGCTTCACGTCCGCATCATGACCTATCTGGTCTCGGCTCATTGCTATAGCGGTGTCGTCACGACCATTGGTCCTGACTACGACGCCGTGGCCTTGTGGTGAGTTGGCACATCTTTCTCTCTTTTTACCCTGAGACGTGTGGCCCAACTGACTCTGTCCATTTCAGGATGCCTCCCGGGATGCACATGGACGACTGGTGGACCATCTTCCGAAGCGGAATGTGGCGCCTCTACTACCAACTTGGTTCCGAGGGCCGCAAGCGCTACTACGAAGATGTCCTGCCTCTTCTGCATGAGACCATGGACGAGGTCATGGGAGATCGCGAGTATTATTACCTTGCTTATATCGGCACCAAGCCGAGCGCCCGAGGCAAAGGCTATGCCAAGAAGCTCATCATGGACATGGCTGCCAAGGTAATTTACATGAATTTTTGCCTGACCTGCCTTCTCACATATCAAAGTGAAGCAGATCAGTGAGCAATCGAGCAGACAAAGCTAACAAGCAACCAGGCCGATGCTGAAACTTGCGCCATGTACCTCGAGTCGAGCTCCCGCGAAAACATCAGCTACTACGAGCGCTTCGGCTTCGAGTACCGCAAGGAAATCTCTTTCAAGAGAGGCCCGGTGCCCGTGCCGCTCTTCATAATGGTGCGAGAGCCGGCGGCAAAGCCTGCGGTCAAGGGAGCAGAGGAAGTTGTTCCGACTCTGAGCCAGATCGAGACTGTTAAAGTGTAAGTTCCAATGTTGTTGTAGCCTCTCTAGCAACTCTCCAAGACTGGATCTGTGCGACGAGGCCAGATTGCTACGTTTGAATTTCTTTCTTCCTCTGTCTCTCCTTTCAATGCTCTTTATTCTATGAGAGTTGTGCTACAAGGGAATGATGGTTCCTTTGCTTCTTCAATGCTTCTCACTTTGAGGTCTGGATGAATCTCGTTCAAATGTTTGTATTCGTCGTACTCTCATTATAGTTTGCTGCTGCTTCTGCTTTTGTCAGCTGTGTGGGAGATGTTTCTCACTGGTCAAGCCCTGTCTCTACCGTACACTAAAATATATCAAGAATTGCGCATGTTTAACTGCCCTTAATATTCTAAAATGGCCCATGTCTCGTCGTCAACTGTTGTGTAGATGATACCCGAGCCCAGAAGCTCATCGGCCGCTGTGAGCACCTCCCGCATTGCCAACCCCAGCCCCGCCGTAATGTTACTCAGATGCATTCCGTCGTTGCCTCCCGGCGTATCATTCAAGTAGTTGTACACTCTCTTTGCGTTGGCACTGCATCCAGAGAGCTTGGCAGGAGGCTGTGCTCCACCGGCGCCAGCATTGTAGCCATCGCCGCCATCAACAAACATGCTATCGCCGTTGTTTGCTCCTGCACCAGAGCCACCGGCGGCGCCACGAGTGTAGAACAAATGTACGTATGTCGCCTCGAGTAGATGGTAGTTGACCTCGTTGAAATCTGTTACTGGTCGAATGACGTGGGCTCCAACGTGTCGCTTGTTGGAGAACGACTTGAGACGACCCCATACGCGGATGTGTGAATCAATCTCGAAGCCGGGCTCTGCGTCGCCTTGTTTGTCCGCGTCGATCCACTTCTTCACGTCGATTTGCCCTGTGCCGTCGTCGACCTTGATCGTCAGATTTGTCTGTTGTGGGTTTATGCTGCGGACCTGGCCGACGAATGTGATTTGGGTGATGGGAGCGCCGTCCACTTTGAAGTCTGCACCGGAGTACGGCTCCTCGGCCTCGAGGATCTGCTTGATGGTCAAGGGCCGTAATGATTCATCTTGGTATGACTGTTTCCCCCGTCTCACATGTCAGCTTCATGCCGCGGAAGAAGAATGGGAATGTCGACTGGGCTGAACCGAACCGAACCGAACTGGACTGACCTTGCCACCACCACCGCCGCCTTGGCTGCCTTGCTGTGAACCCCCTCCGGCAAAGAAGCCGCCAGAGTCATCGCCGCCCTGGGCGCCGTAGCTAGTCTTTTGGTAACCGCCGTATGCAGCTGCGCGGGAGAGTTAGTCAGGCAATGGAACAATCGAACAGAGCAGCGAGGGACGCCTTACACATTATGTTGAGAGTGACGTGATGATGGTTGGTTGGGCTTCTCTCAAAAAAAAATGGACGACGCGTTTGAAGCGCGACGTGGGTTTAATGGATTTTGCCCCGCGACAAGCTAATGGGCAAAAGAAAGTGGGCTGCTGTAGGCAGGTAGGCGGTAGAGTTGGAGGATGACTCAGCAAGAGAGCCCGTGCAGCCAATACAGCATATACAGGTACCTAGAAGTGCAGCTAGCTGAGTGAGTGACAACCACATGCAGCTATCCGGAGCTTATCAATGGCACTTGGATCCCGTGCGAGTGATCTAAAAGCCATCAATATTATATTATATTCTTTCCCTGATGTTGGGCACTATGAAATACAGGATACAGATTGTTGGTTGCAGCACAGTGACTGTGACGCTGCGTGCTATAGTTGACATCATGGGATTACATATCGCAAGACGGGATGGATCCATTCCTTGGGGATTTCCCTCGGTACATGTAGCCACACGCATTGCCTAGCACCTGTATGTACTACCTACCTGGGTAACCTTGCCTACATGTGGCCCAAACATTTGATCAATGTACCTAGTACCTGCCTAAATAACACACACGTGCCGCAGCAAACACCACATTCAACAGATGAGTTTGATAAGAAATGAAATAAAATGAAATAAAATAAAATAAAATAAAATTGGCATTTCTTTTCGCCAATTCAACCTTTGATGCATCTTCCAATCGAACCTGTCACGAGATGCAGCGCGGCATCTCCCATCCTCTGCCAGCCAATAGGCGCCCTGCATCTTCAGCCTCGGCAACATTTCAGCCGGGGTCGCATAGACGGACTGACTCGAAAGCTACCACTAAAACCACGGGAGCGTTAGATGGCATAAGCCGGGGTTTGGCATCAACATTCGACGCTTGGTGCTTCATGTTTCCACCGCGTTCTACACATCTTCGAAGCCTTTCACGACCATCAGTTAGTTAATACCCAGGCCACTGTTTTGCCTTCTCCTTTCTAGCAATCTTCTGTTTGCTCTACTTACTGCAGGCGCTCTTTGCCTTTGCCTTTGCCCCCGTTTCTGTTTCTGTTTCTGTTTCCGCGCTCCTCACCTCACCACATCACATCTTCGGCTTTCCAGCTTTCGCATCGCATCGCATCGCATCGCAATGGGAAGATCCCTGACCGCGACACTTCCGCTGATTCCTCTCCCTCGCGGAACTGTCCTGCTCCCCGGCCTCGCCTACCGCATCACCGTCAACTCCAGCCGGCCCGACATCCCGGCCCTCCTCGCCCACGTCTACGAACTTGCCGCATCAAAGGGCCCGGATGGCCGCATCGACACAATCCCCATAGCATGCGTCCCGGTGTCGTCCCCGCTGGTCGGCCCGGACGGCCAGCTGCTCATTACCAATGGCGAGGACATTGACAATACTCGCATCGATTCCGTCAATCCGGGCACTGCGAAAAAGGATGACTTGTTCGGCTTCGGAGTCGCGGCCAAGATTGTGGGCATCGACGGCCGCGGGTCGGGCGAGTTCGCTCTGCGTGTTGAGGGCTCGAGCAGAGTCAGAGTAGACGGCATCACTCGCGAGCGTCCCTTTTTTGAAGCCAAAGTCACATATTATGAAGACGAAAGTATGCCTCTCCCATTGTATTTGCCACAAGAAACCACCCCCCCGTCTTGGCTCGTTTATCTGACCCTGATTTGCTTTGTTATTAGTTGACGTCGTCGACAAGCAACTGCAAGACTTATTCAGCCTGCTCAAGCTACGCTCAAGAGAGCTCGTCACAATTCTTCGCATATCGTCGTTACTCCCTCGCGCAAACGGCCCCTCCCTCTCCCCCGCAGTCACAAAAAGGTTGGAGATGCTCATCATTCGAAGAGAATTGAAGGAGGCTGGTATGCTGGCTGATTTCATGGCCAACCTCTTGGACGCCACCCATGAGGAAAAGCTTGGTATCCTAGCGGCTCTGGATGCCAAAGTAAGGCTCACGAAAGTCATTGAGCTTTTGGAGCGCCAAGTTGGTGGCATCAAGAACAACTTTAAGATTACTACGTTCACAACGGTCCCGGTTCAAATCATTGACCGTTTGAATGAGAACCCCTCCAAAAGACAGAATACAATGCCGCCAATGGCAGGCATGGGATTTCTGCCGCCTCCAGGGGGGAATGACCAAAACGAAGACCAAGAGGCGTCTGAGCTTGACGAGCTGAAGAAGAAGCTTCAGGCTTCAAAACTTCCGCAGGATGCTGCCAAGGCTGTGGACAGGGAGCTTCGACGGCTGCAGAGGATGCCCCCCATGAACCAGGAGTATCAAGTAACAAGGAACTGGCTGGAGACGGTATCTGAAATCCCATGGACAGCAGCTACAGATGACCGGCTGGGGCCTGATACCTTGACCAAAGCCCGAAAACAACTTGATCTCGACCACTACGGCCTGGACAAGGTAAAGAAGAGGCTCATCGAGTATTTGGCTGTTTTAAGGCTTAAGCAGTCCATTAATGACGATATGGAGGAACAAATCCGAAAGGCAGAGGCCGATGCTGCTGCTGCTGCTGCTGCTGCTGCTGCTGAAAAAACCATTACCGATGGCAACAGTCGAGACGCCAGTTCAGAGGAAATCGCCAAGAGTGATGCGTCTGAGTCGGAGCTTGCCAAGCTCCAGGTGCTCAAGTCAAAGCGCACAGTCGACAAGTCGCCAATCATGTTGCTCATCGGACCTCCCGGCGTAGGAAAGACAAGCCTGGCCAAGTCGGTTGCGACTGCTCTGGGCCGCAAGTTCCACCGCATCTCCTTAGGCGGCGTTCGAGACGAAGCAGAAATCCGCGGACACAGGAGAACGTACGTGGCGGCCATGCCAGGCCTCATCGTACAGGGCCTCAGGAAGGTCGGTGTGGCGAATCCCGTCTTCCTCCTTGACGAGATTGACAAGATTGGCTCGGCAAGCGTACACGGTGACCCCTCAGCTGCCATGCTCGAGGTTCTAGACCCGGAGCAAAACCACAACTTCCAGGATCACTACGTTGGCATGCCGGTTGACCTGTCCAAGATTCTCTTCATCGCCACCGCCAACAGCCTCGACACCATCCCTGGCCCTCTGTTGGACCGCATGGAGATGATCTATCTTCCTGGCTACACCACGCTTGAGAAGCGCCACATTGCCATTCAGCACCTGATTCCAAAGCAGCTCAGGGCTAACGGATTGGCTGACGACCAAGTCGAGTTCGGCCAGGAGGTGGTGTCTAAAATTATTGAGTCGTACACCCGTGAGTCAGGGGTTCGCAATCTGGAACGAGAGATTGGCTCTGTATGTCGTGCCAAGGCAGTTGAATACGCTGAGGCGAGAGACAACAGCGCCCTCGAGACATACCGGCGACAGCTCACTCTCGACGATGTCGAGCACATTCTAGGCATCGAGAAGTTTGAGGAAGAAATTGCCGAGAAGACGAGCCGTCCAGGTATCGTTACGGGACTCGTGGCCTACAGCACCGGCGGCAACGGCAGCATCCTCTTCATCGAGGTTGCCGACATGCCCGGTAATGGACGGGTGCAGCTTACGGGCAAATTGGGCGATGTTCTCAAAGAAAGCGTCGAGGTTGCTCTCACATGGGTCAAGGCTCATGCCTTTGAGCTGGGCCTCACCCCGGAACCCCACGTCGATATCATGAAGGATCGCAGCATTCACGTTCACTGCCCCTCAGGAGCAATCCCCAAGGACGGGCCTAGCAGCGGCATCGGCCAGGCCATTGCCCTCATCTCACTATTCTCTGGCAAGCCAGTGCCGCCTACAATGGCCATGACGGTACGTTTTCAGTGCGCCGGGCTTTGATTTTCCATGTCATACCATGCAAAAAACTCACCCCCCTTCCCCTCCTTCCAAAACCCCCCCAACACTGAATGGTATAGCTGACGTGACATGTAACACAGGGTGAGATATCCCTCCGCGGCCGGGTCACCGCTGTCGGAGGTATCAAGGAAAAACTCATCGGTGCCCTCCGAGCGGGGGTTAAGACAGTGCTACTTCCAGCGCAAAACCGCAAAGATGTCAAGGATCTCCCTCAAGAAGTCAAGGATGGCTTGGAAATTCTGCACGTTGGGTGAGCTTTCTTCTACTTGCTTCCTCCCCCCCTCTCCATTCTCTCCCATCTCAATGCTGGCTGCATAAATGCGACAGCGTCTTGTGGTTACGCACCTTGCCTCACCGTCAAACATTAGAGAAGGAAAAAACGAAAAAGCAGTGTTACTAACTCGACTACTGAATAGCCACATTTGGGATGCGATCCGACTGGTCTGGCCTGATTCCCACTGGGCTGAGGACCATCAATTTGCCGGCATTGAGAGCCGTCTGTAAAGGCTTTTGCTTCCAGTTGGCATTCCGGGTTTTCGGCCCCCCTGTGTCTTGCATCGTCAATTCCGCTTGTCCAATTGTAACCCTAATCCAGTATAATGTATATAAGGGAGTTGGAGCTTGGTATATTTTGAAATGTATCGGATCTGAGACACTTTGCCCTCAGATGAATCGCATCACACCGATGCCCCAATGCTACTACTAGTAGTGCTAGGACCACTGATATACCTTGCTGAGCTCATTCAAGACAATAAATGTCATTTGTTTTCACAGTCAAGCATCTTGGAGTGTTCAGCCGGCGTCAACTGCGTCATAGGCGTGTCTTCCCTCCTCACATATCGTTCGAGGCAAGCTCTCCATGTGATTCCGTCACTGCATCACCGCGCTAGAAGAAGCGAGCTGATACTACTGATGTATTGCCATAGCTAGTGGTATATTCCCTATAGCTCATGATGTAATGATCTTCTCTTGGCCAAAATGCACGAGGGGGTGTGTGAGGGCCAGGTATCTACGCAGCTGCAAGTACGTGCATGTGTACGAGTAATTCTTGGATTCAGGGAGACCATGTGCTGCAGCGCTAAAAACACATGGGCATGGTGGCGTGAAAGTAAGACACCGGCACATTCCCACGTCTAGCGATTCAAACTGAGACACAAGGGATAAAGGCAGGAAAGAAAGAAAGAAAAGAAGAAAAAGAAAGGCAAGGCAAAAGAAAGCAGACAGCAGTAGCCAAGCTGAACAATACGTAGGCAAGGAGGCGGGCATCCTGGTCCACACCTCTCGACTCTGCTAGGATCAGCAAGTTTACGATTCCGGGCTCTATCAGCTGCCCGAGGTGGCTGTATCGGTTTCAACCGGTTCTCCCACATGTCTATCCCAGCTGAACTCTCTCAGATGAGACACAGTTACGACACTAGCACGGCTGTGTTGTCAAACTTCCCTTGGTGGCATAATGTGCATATGTAGAGGAGGTTTGTGCGCACAGCTGTGTAGGTAGTGTGTTCAGCTGGGCATGGATAGGGGGGAAAAGAAAAGCAAAGCAAACCGGCTAGCTAGCCTGACACAGGGCCTGGTTTTATCTTCTCACAGAGATGGGGGCATACTTCTGTGGCCAACCCTCATACTCAACTTGGGTTGCTTGTTTCTTCACCAGTTAGGTTGACTTTCTCACATGTTTCGAAACATGACCCTTCCATGCCAAATCGTCTAGATGTATCGCCGAGGCACGTCTCATCATTCCCTCCCAGAATCACCATCCAACATGTAATACGCCATATGGTGGGTTGTGGCATCGGTGGCTAGCTATCCGGCGGCGTATCCTGACCACTCGCACGCTCGCTTGGATGTCCTTGCATGCCCTTTTGCTCCGAAAAATGGGTATTCGATCCAATGGAGGGCAGGCCGGGCCTACATCCACGGGGTGACCCCGTTGTTGTATGCATATACGGTGCACGCGGAGCCAAAGTCTCGAGACGATGTTTGAATTTCATATCGATCATCATCTTGGCTGGCGCCAAAATGCAGCTCATTGCTTTCGTGTCGGAAATACTCATGTTGCCACCCTCTTACAGGGATATGGCCGGCCAAGAGCCGACCAGCCAGCTCAACAAGAGCTCGGCATCGTAGTTTTAAGCACGAGATGATGAGTGAAACAGGGCCATCTCGGTGATTTGAGCGGGGAGCTTTAGGCTGCAAATCCAGAGGCGAGACATTGTTGGGACTAGCCCGACGGGAATCCGATTCTACACTCGTATGAGGAGTATGAGGATGCTCAATATCTGGAGTCTCAAAGTGCTGCAGGGATGCCGGTTCGCAGCAAAGAACAGCAGCAGAAGCAATGAAAAAGGGCCCCGGCCTTTTACAAGAAAACTTCTGTCAACAAGGGGCTATCTTGGGAGGTGGTGACCCTGGCGAAAGAGGTTGATTCCAAGGCAGATGCAGCAGAATATAACCATTTGAGAAGGAGACTGCGTTATTGCTATACTGATTGTATTCACGGCTCCAAACACGCGGTCGACTTTTCGCGGAGCGTTCGGAACTTACCGCCTGTGCGTACATACTGTAGAGTCGAAACAACTGAGGAGGGTTGAGCTCGCGATGTATCCACCTATCTCGTGGCGACAATATGCGTATCTCCGTATCCAAATAAAGGATGTGATTATTCCGTAATTCCTGAACGAGGCAAAACTCCCATTCCCGCTTGGCACTCGTCCTCCATGTGTAGTCGGATCTTGGTGTGAAAAAGGACAGACTATTCCACTTGCACTGTCCTAGTGTTGACGGCCGTCACACATCCGAAATCCTAACGGCACAGTCCAGACCCTTCCAGCGTGGAATGTCCGTGTCAATTCATCCACCCCAGTCACATCGGTGTGGCACTTGTAGCAGTACTACTGGTAGGGGTTGGGGTGTTCTGTAAAGAAGTGTGGATGCCAAGAGAAGTAAGGGAGGACTTTGATATTTTGTTCCGATTGAATGGCTAAGCTCCGACTGTGACGCATGCGCAGTGATGTCCTCGTATGAAGTGGAATCCCCGGCACGCAGTTCAAGCGTCACTAGCGAGATTGTCAGCGTTGATCATATCGACGACTCGCGAAAAAATCAAGGGCGAGCTTGGTACATGAGCCGAAAGGGTCCAGGACCAAAAAAAAAAAACGCCGAACACATGGTATAGGTACACCACGCCAAGTTTGTACATGTACTTGGCACAGGTTCGTTCGTCGCATGTATGTAAGATTGAACAATGTAGGAGAATGTCACGGTGGACTCGACGGACGGGGGCCACACAGCCCCTTCTATAACCCCCCACCCACATCGATGAGATGTGATGAAATACTAATAGACGCTTGTCAGAAAATTTCCGTCTGGTTTCCTTGCCGACTACGGAATAGTGACATGGCCGCTAGGGGCACTGCGCTTTAGATTCCCGTTTCCGGCTGTTGCTTATCTTGGTCGCTCTCTTGGTGTGGTAACAGCAGGGAGAAGCTTTCCCAGCTGTCGCATCATTGGATGCCGAGCCTCCCCGGAATGATACTCGGAAGAAGTGAAGATCGTATTGTTAGCCCCCCAAATACCCACCAGATGGCACGAAGCATGCATGTGGTGGCGGTGGTGGTAGCAGTAGTCAAACACGTATTGCCCTACTACTAGGTAGTGGGATGAGCTGCGGGTGAGATAATTTCTCTCCCTCTCTCTCTTGACCTTGCTGCCGCCGCGTGGCTAGATGGATCCGAGATATGTCGCAAGATATCCTGCAGAACCAGGTCAGCTGTTCTTCAGTAGGAAGGAAATATTTACGCCTTGAGCCTAACGATAGCTCCGCAAAGAGTACCTGAACTCAGACCCGTACTTGTAAGGTGTACCCCCCAAATATTCCGGAATTAATGAGATTGTACCATTTTGCACTTCGTAATTCGGACTCCATTCGCCGTATTCAAGGCCTAAGGCTGGCTAGCCGACATATGCACCTTCCTACTGGAACAAGACTAGATGCATGAGACCCCTTGTTGAGGATGCGAGATTTTAGCAGGCAGCTCAGTGCCTGGAGCTTGTTGATTTCTTTTCGTTCTCTCTCTCTCTCTCTCTTTGTCGCCGCGCCTGTAACATATGTTTACACTCCTTCTTCGTTTCCTTGCAGCGATGTTTTGGATTGTCCAGTAGTAGCTCGCGTTCAGGTAATATCGGGGCGAGTGGCCGAGCTGCAGTGGCCTGTACGGTATCTTTTTGAATCTTGTGCTGTTCCCCCAGATTCATTTGAGGCCATATCCCTGTCCCCCGGAAATTTAGCTCTTCAATAGTCCTGCGACCATCAGAAAGAAATGGAGTCTCGGCGGGGTGTTGTAGAGCCCATGGGAGGAAAAAAAAACCTGGCCTGGGCCTTCCGAAGCACAGGTGCCCGGCCGACCCCGGAGGTTTCGTTACTTTGGACGATTCTTGATCAGTCCTTCGATGCTCACGATACTGTACTCGTACATTGTGAGATGGAAAGTCCTTGGTCTGACCAGGTAGTGGCCGAAGTGCCAACCGTGGTAATAGGATGCCACCTACTGAATCTGGGGGAGAAAGCTTGGAATCGATGGTACCATCTGCGATGGCATTAGAAAGTCATCCTCCTCCTCTTGAGATTCCATATAATGAATGAGAGTATTACTCGTATTGAACATGGGAACTTGTGCCGATCAGTCTTTTGCTGCTTGGCCGTGGCGCCGTCACGGAGCAACTTCCGGGCGCCCATGTGCAAGCATGAGGCATGCAAATGTACGAATAGCGGCTGTCGATTTCCACTGCAATTGTTCATGCTCGTGCAGCGGGAGACATGGGGTATTACTCCAGATACGAGGCAAGTGAAGATACGGAGAATTTCGATTGGGACGTTGGGAGGGGAGAAAGCCAAGCCAAGCCACCTCGCTGGCGGTAAATTAAAGTAACAGGTCCATTGGTTGCTGTACAGGTACTAAAGTGCAGTGGGTACCTACAAGATGGGAGTACTCGTACCAAGTACTGGGTACGAGTTGCAGGTAGCAGGTAGCAGGTAGCAGGTACGGGTAGCAGGTAGCGGGTACGGGTAGCAGATACGGGCAGCAAGGTACCTCGTTCCTGGCCCAGGTGCTTTGATTTCGGCACACCCAACGGCAAGAACCAAGGTCGTCGCGATTGCCATCACCAGACCTTGCTTTCGGTTAAAACAAATTCCCGGGGCCAATGTTGGTCCTGCAGCGACATTCGACGTGCGTTGCCGACATGGCAGACTCGGACTATCAGCTTCGTCTCCGCCAATACGATTGCTCGGTGCTAGAACCTGAACCCTGAGCCTAAGCAAGTATTTTGTAATCCGTGCCTGACCTCAGAGTCTCTTGACTGGCTCCAGGTGAGTGCCAAGGCCCTTCTGCTATGCCAAAGAGGCAATAACGTGCTGACGAGATGCAGCTAAAGAGGTCCACCAACGCCGCCTCTCGTCGACACCGGAATAATTCGAATGCCCTAGTGCCTCTGTGCTGTGGCGT